AATAAGTGTACAACGTGCTAAACCGAAGTTCAGACTGACCAGTGAAAATGGGCGAGCGTACCAAGTGTCATTTTAATTAGAAGTTTTAGTGAGTGATTTATTATTGAAGCTTGTAATTACAATATCTAATGCTCCTATAAATACTTTAATTAATTGTTTGTCCCGTTATTCTTTTTCCTTCCTCTTTTCCTTGTCATCCCCTTTAGTTTTAAGATTCTTGCTATAAATGGCTACAGCTAACACTATTAATGCTAAGTACCAAACAACAAGTGGGAGGTGGATCGTTGGTACCATTAAATCGATTTAACACCGCAATTCCAGTCGCAAGCCTGGGACCACTACTAGCATAGTCACAACATCTACAAAGCTGCCATATAGCCTGACTGACAATTTTCTCGACTGACTGACAATGTTTCTTCTTTTTCCCCATTTAGAATACAAAGATTAGTACATTTTAGCTTATGATTAATATTATATTTTTACCTATAGTTTACTTAGATATAATTGAAATAAGTTAAATATTCATCCCCGAGGGGCACGCAGATTATAATTGTGATGTTATCTATTAAAACTATTCGATTAAAATGTTATTGGTCGAGTCGACTGGCCCTGATCTGCAAACATATTTGATATTGGTAACTTTATGATGCTGCCTCACCGCAATTAGGTGTGTTATCAGTGTAGATATGCGCTATGTGGCAGTGAAATAAGGAATGTGCTGTTAGAATGGCAGGTGGTTAGAAATGTTGTCCTGATTCAGATTGTTTAATTTGAGCTGTATGAGTTTGGTTTTGAGTGATTATTGACTATGTTCTTTGTGATTTACGTAATCCAGGTAGGTTGTGGAGTAAAAATGGTGGCCATTCGTCGTTGCAGCCAGCACTTTGCAAGTCTAGTAGTACTTTTTTTGACGAATTCTTATATATGTTGATAGAAAATATACTGGATGGGCATGTAATGCGAGTGTTATGCTCTGAAATAGCGAGCATTGGGCCTTTATAAAAGATGCTAGATCTCAGGTCAGTCTGTGAGTAAATTGATAACCAGTCTAAGTTTTGTTCGTGTGTCGTTCCTTGTTTGGGTGTGTTAGGAGGGAAAAGTTCTGAAATCGATTTAGGTAACAAACTAGACATATTTCGAACTTTGTGCAGTAAAATAAGTGCGTTTTTAACGATAACCCCTTGAACGGTTAAGACCTCGTGTTCTTTAAATGCTAGTTTTGTGTGCTCTGGCAGTTTTCCGTCCTTGTAGTAGTAGTTCACATTTCCGGCCATAACTGCCCTCATACCTTGTTTTTGTTTAGCAAAAAGAGATTCTATAAGAGATTTTGAAGCAAATCCCCAGACAAGTGAGCAGAAGTTTAAATGGGACTGAACAAAACTTTGGAAAATCTGTAAACGGGCCTTCATTGGAAATTTATGTTTTATCCTGTACATCACCCCAATAAATCTTGACATCTTGCTCCTCAGTGCTTTTATGTGGCTACTCCAGTTAAGCTTTTCATCTACAATTACACCAAGAAACCGGGCTTCAGTTTTACGTTCTAATACTGTATTTTCTATTTGTACTTTAATCAATGATGGTTCTATGCGCTTTTTCGAGAAAATCATATAACACGTCTTTTTTAGATTTAGTGCTAATCCGTTGCTATTAACCCACCGTGATAATGTTTCCGTTAGTTGGTTGACCCTTAGCATTAGTTCTTGGACATTGGAACCGTTAATAATGATATTTGCATCGTCTGCATAAAGTATGAATTTTACCATCATGTTAGAAATACCGGGAAGATCGTTGATGTATATGACGAAAAGTAAGGGACCTAGTATGCTCCCTTGTGGAACACCATGCACAATAGGCTTGTGGGACGAATGTGAATTGTTTATTGCTACATATTGGCTTCTATCACTTAGGTATGACTCAAACCACTTTAGAGCTATTCCCCGGATGCCGTAGTGCTGTAATTTATTTAGCAGTGTAGCATGATCCAGGACGTCAAACGCTTTACTGTAATCTAATAATAGCAGTAGTGAAATTTGGTTTTTGCTAAGAGAGTGTAAAATTGTACTTTGTGCATTAAGAAGAGCATGTTCACAGGACCTTCCTGGACGGAACCCATACTGATTTTCGAATAAAGAACTATTTTTGTTGAGAAATTCTAAGACACGTCGGTGCATCAGTTTTTCGTAGATTTTTGAGAAGGAACCTAAGAGAGAGATGGGTCTATAATTTTCAACGTCAAGTTTAGAGCCTCCTTTATGGATGGGAGTTACTTTGGCAATTTTAAGGGCCTGTGGAAATATGCCTGTACTTAAGGATTCGTTGATAACTTTTGCTAATATAGCAAGGAAACTATCGCTGGAACTGGCTACTTTTAGTGGTTCAATTTTTGTGTCAAGGGTCGCTTTGTTCTTCAAACCAATAATAATTCTTTGAATTTCGATCGTTTCAGCAGGCTGGAGATGGATTGATTGAGAACAGGATGTGGGCAGATATTCCTGGAACCCCCCAGGGTCAAAGGTCTGACGGGCACTTATCTGAGTTTTGATGTTCGTAGCAATGTTCGAGAAATAGTCATTAAACCTTTCAGCCACGGTATCTTCAGAACTCAAAATCGACCCGTCCGAACCTTTAAGTCTTAACTGCTCTGTTTTCCTGCTTCTACCAAGTAAACCGTTGATTATTTGCCATTGTTTTTTGGAGCAGTCCTGGTATTTTTCGAATTGTTTTTTATAGTATCGTTGTTTGGCAATGTTGACATGTTTTTTACAGAAAAGTTTTAGCTTTTTATAGGCCTCTATATTATTCATTGTAGGTTCAAGTACTTTACTATGATAACTTTCTTGTTTCCGCGCACATGCTTCTTCAAGCCAGGGTAATATCCAGGGTTTAGTATTAGAACGCTCATGTTCACGGCGAATATGATTGATTTTTAGTGGATAGGCAGTGTTATAGTGCTTGGTGTATATATCTGCAAGTTTTCCGTATTGCAGACTAGCGTCGTCTGTACTTAATATCTCGTCCCACGTTTCCCCATCGATGAGTTCCCTAAAAGCAGCATTGTTGGCTTCATTTATGACACGTGTTTCATAACTAAGTTTAGGTTGTGTGTTAGTACGTCTTCTTTGGTCTTTGTCTTGATGTCTGCATCGAAGAGGACAAGGAAATGGTCAGATTTGGTTCTTGAGGGACGGATTTCAAATGAAGTCAGTTTTTCCTTGAAGGATCTATTAGTAACTACAAGATCTAGAGTTCCACCTTGGTCATGGGTTGGCTCAAGAGGAACATGTTGATAAAGGTCATACTCCTCCAGGAGTTGGTAGAGCTTCTTTGGGTAGTGTTCTTCAGGCTTTTCCATGTGAAAGTTGAAATCTCCAGCGATAATAGGAAAACCAGGTTTGACTGTGAGGTCTTTAAGGTAGTCTTCAAATTCTTCTAGAAAGGCAGACTCCGTGTACCGAGCCTTCTTGGTATAAGGAGGCCGATACAAGTTCACAAGTCTCACAATATCTTGTTGAGATTGTAGCAGTGATTCCATCACTTGGAAGGATTTGTACTTCGTGACCTTACTATTACATTTTAACTGGAGGACATCACGAAATAGCATAGCTATACCTCCTCCTCCTCTATGTTTTCGTGGGTCCGAGAGTATATTCCAACCAAGGTCTTTGATCTCCATTATCTTAGCTGTGTTTCCATCACGAAAGAAAGTTTCTTGTACAAAACAGATGTCACAGTCAACTTCTTGAAGATGCTCTAAGACTCCGACTGTTTTGTTCACTAAGGATCTTACATTGAACGTTCCAATCCTTAAACTCTTCCTAGGCGTAGTTTGGTCTCCTTTGTCTTCTGTACGTACCAGTTTTTTGAATTCTCACATCCTGCTGTCCTATTCATGATTCCAATCCGTTCTCTTACATACGAGGGACATAGGTTGTCAGAGGCTTTATGGGTCTTTGCTGAGTTCTTCTCCGAGTGTTCACTACTTTTGGCGCAGTTAGAGCACTTTATCTTTGTGACAATATTTTCACTTTTGCTTCTACAGTCTTTTGACTTGTGGTTTCCTGCACAGAAGAAACATGTTGGGTCTTTATCTTTGGCTTTACAGTACATGGAGTTAGCCATGTGACCAAATTCCTGGCAATGATAACATTGGATGACATGAATTCGGTCTGTAACATGGTGTTCCCTAAGGTCAATATGAACATAGTCTCTGTTTTGTCTGATTGACTCACGTACTGCTGCATTGACACGGATGACAGCCGTTTTCTCTTTATCATCGAAGAAAACCACTTTAACCGCATCGTCTTTTTCAGATGAGGACTTCAGTATTTCATTCTTTTCCAAAAGTTTCTCTAGCAGTGCCTCCTTGTTTGTGATATCAGAAGGAATATTCCGAATAGACAGTTTAGGGTCCAATTTCTTTCCTGGTTCGGACTTTGACGATACCTTGTATTTCTCTTGACTTTTAAATACTGTTTCAGCTTTCTTAAGTTGATCCTTGGTAACAAGCTTGAAGGTTGCAGTATTTCCGGACACTGTATAGTTCTTCACTGGGTTGACTTTAAGGGAACCTTTCATTTCCTTTTCATCATCAATTGTGATAGGTTCTGCGTCTTCAGAGTCTGTGGTCTTTTTCTCAACTGTGAGTGTGTGTTTTTCTGCAAGCATAGTTTCTTCTTTTGCTTTCTTTTCTTTGGGTAGTGTTGCTACCACTGTATTCAATAAATCTGGTAGTATTGTGGGTAGTACTTCTGCTAGTACCTCTTTGAGCTGTGTCTTTATAATTTCCTTGAAATCTGGTGATTCCTGTACTGTATGAGTTGTGGCTTGTTTTGTTCCTAAAACAGTTTGTGTTAGTTGAAGAGCATTTTTGGAGAAAGTGTCCAACTTCATCTTTTCCATGTCAAAAACCCTGCTAGAAAGATCAAGGACCGAAGGGACAAGTGACAAATTGTCAGTTCTTAAAAAAACTAAACAACTGTTTTGTAATAATTCGATACCTCAAATTATTTGTTATATAGTAGTGTTGAAAGTATTAAAACACTACTTAGATAGAATAGTAAAATATTGAAAATATTTAACTTTTCAGAAATAAAAACTATCAAGCAGTACCAGCAAAAAGGAAATGAAATCATTATGAATTACTGTGAGATCGACAGAGACTCCCCTTTAATGTTCCCTCCTGCCCCTAAACAAACTTATATTGATGTATATATAGACGAAGAACCTTCCAGTAACACCTTCGAGAAAGAAAAACGCTTACAAGCAAATTACGAGACAGAGGTTCTGGTATATCGGGCTTTGGAGATGATGAATGAGTTAAGCTTTGTTTTGCATGGGTTTGAATATACTCATCACCAATATCGGATGTGTGACACCAGTCACGTCAAACAAAACTGCGGTAAATGTAAGAATGCAGCTAATATTGAGGGAGAATGTGACTTCCTAGTCATCGGAAAGAACTATATTGTAATAATTGAGGTGAAGAACATTCCTTATGATAAAAACGAAGAATTGACTAAACTGATGGCGAAAGAATTGACAGGATCACTTGCAAAATCACAGAAACAGGGAGAAAAGGTGAAAAGCCTAATAACTGGTCTACTGAAACAAGTGTTCTGTAAAATAGATGCAGATATGATCCCAGTATATCAGTTCTCTGCTTTTCCCAACACCCACCGAACCCTGTTTGAGAATGTAGATGTGGAAATGGAGCATATTATATGTGAGGAGGACTTAAGTGATTTTAGCAGCTGGTGGAGCAAAAATGTAACTGCACCGATATCTAGTAATATTAACTTAATATACTGTGTAAAAATATTGACAGCTATATGGTGTACAGAGAAGAACCAGTGTGATGAACGAAAGTGCAGTCTGGGCCAGTGTATAATGGACATAGACGAGGAATTGAAAAAAGGGAAGATAACATTTCTTAGCAAAAACCGTCCCTCAAATTCTAATGTGATTAGTGTCAGTGATTTTGAAGGTGCGACTATTAACAACAAATGGAATTGTCTGCAACTAATCGGATATGGATTGCTTGTGATTTTACTCAGATTGCTTTGTTTTTTTCTGGATACCACGCTCACGGAGAAATAAGGACCATAATTAGATCAGAATTATTCATCCCTGAAAATTGTGTTACTTTTACTTTGAACTTGAGAAATTCTTGTGATATGGCAGGCATTTTGTCTAAGTTACGAGAACGCACGACTCTATATTTCACTCTATATTTCACTCCAAAAACAGTAAATATGATGGACGTTGCTTTTCCAGCGCTTCGACCAGGTCATTTCATACACGGTCCTCGATCTATCATATACATCCTAGAGACTAAATTTGAGGACGATGTTGTCGGTAATGCTATTTTCGGTATTATAATAAAAGATATTTTGATTGAACAACTCGGCAAATTATGTGACACATCTGATTCATGTGGGTTAAATATTGGAATAATTGAGAATATTGGAATTTTTACTTCAGATATTAAAAAAGCAATAGAATCTATAGAATCGCTTGCATCCCGCAATAAGGTAGAATTGTGTGACTCATATTCGTGCTATTCGGCAGAGTTCCCCGCAGTAATTGTTATAACTAACATGGGTATGCAGTCTCTCTACCTGCAAATGTCCCGAGCCAGAGTATACTGCTGTGTGATATTATATCGAAATCTTGCCGATAGTTCTGGTCCGAGGATAAATGAATTAGTGGATGATCTTAAGGGTTCTGTGAAAGTTATACGATGTTTCCCTGAGACCATATTGAGTTTTTCGAGTGAAGAAGATTCTGAAAGAATATCCTTAATAACGTAAGACAATTTGTAGACAATTTGTAAATTTTTAAAATATTATTTTACTAACTAAAATCATTTAATGTCTTACTTTAAATTGATGTGTGATATTTTCATTACATGATCCTTAACTAAGCGCTTTTGTATTAATGTAAAATTTGTTTCAAGTTTTTTACTATCACTCAATTTGATTTAAAGTTGTCGAGAAAATACTTCCACCAATAAAATTTTGCCAAACCGAAATGTCAATAATTCTAACAGATTATTACTACTACTACTTCTTTTTAACTTTTAGTCTGTAAATTAAATGTACTGAATACGTCCTTTAAAACTCCTAGTTCCTACTACTTATAGTTTCTACTTGAGGGGGGGGGGGGGGTGGGCGCCTACATGATCTCCCCAGATATCCCTCTCCATTTATGTCCTGCACCAAGACCTAAATCTCCTCTTGTTCCAAACAAACTAAAACTTAAAGCTGGAACTAACCCAAGGCTCGATGGAGTCTGACTTTACAAAGCAGGCCAGAGCCTTTTTATAACTCCCCGCTGGTGGGTCCACTTTAGCAAACATCCGACTCCAACGTCGCTGCAGTCGTGTCATGTCTGCCAGCTGAAGAAAAGGTTTTTAGACGTATTTTTTGGCTTTGCTTTTTATTATGAATTAATTTAATACGTGTTGAGTTCTTTGCTCCATCATATGAAGCTGTAAAACAATTCCAATATCTCTACAGGGGGGTCATGAGCCCCCCCCCCCCCCCCCCCCTCCTCTAGAGGCTACTAACCTCCATATACCAGTGTCCCAATAGGGTCCACGCAATGTTGTCATCGGGATTACATTCAATTGCTCGGTCAAGATGGTACTTCATTGCTGAAATAAATTAAATCTGTCCAGAAATGTTCAACAATGATCAGAACAAATAATAAAGAAAAATCGTGTTTTATGACCAAAATAACATACAATTTTTCGCACCGAATAAGACCTGTGTACTGTGTATATGAAGTTATAAGTGAGTCTTGACGGTAATTTTAAAAACAGAACTAAGAAAACAAACAAGTGATACAACCCTAACCTTCCATGTTAAGAACACCCGCTTTGATCCCCTCTTTTTCAGCCCTGAAATGTCCGAGTACTGCGATCCAGCGATGAGCGTTACCGTTGTCGGGGTTTATCTCTGCGGCTTCACATGCCATAGCGTGGGCCACGTGGAATACCTGGTCACGTGAGGAGATTAAATAAGAAGGGGAGATAATGGGCAAGTGAGCTCGTTTTGAGTTTACAATAATTTGCTAGGTATAAAGTTGCACCAGAACCTATTCGGACATGGCACCCTCTATTTAATATTACGCTATCAAACTTCTTCCAATATGCAACCATAGCGTGTTTGAAAAAATGGTTAATATCTGTCAATATTCAATACTACTCTAGCCTCAAAATACAAAACCCCTGGATACTAAAACACAATGTTGGTGATTGACCAAAAACACAATACCCTGTGTTGGTGATTGGACTAAAACACAATACCTTGTGTTGGTGATTGGACTAAAACACAATACCTTGTGTTGGTGATTGGACTAAAACACAATACTTTGTGTTAATGATTGACCTAAAACACAATACCTTGTGTTGGTGATTGGAATAAAACATAATACCTTGTGTTGGTGGTTGGACTAAAACACAATACCTTGTGTTGGCGATTGGACTAAAACACAATACCTTGTGTTGGTGATTGGACTGGTATCCTTTACCGTAAATCCACTTAATTCTGGCAAGTCTCCAGAGAACCTCATCATTACCCGGACTGACAGTGTTTAACTCAACAAGCTTGTCCTCACAGTCTGTCAGTTTACCAGCGTCGTAGAGACTGTCACATTCTGCTAGCTGAGATGGGTTTACTGGTTACGATGAAAATGAGAGCGTATTATTAATTAGTTATACTAATTAATCTCATTAATCGCGTACTGGTTATGGCCATTAAGTCAAAAGTGAACAATAATTCAAAGTCTAAATACATACGTACCTCATGGAATAACAACGATATATTCAACACTTGCATTGATGTGTTAGTTTCTAATATGTGTGGATTAAGTCAATTCACAAAAATCACACAAAAAAGTCACCTCTTCCGCAGTAACGTCTCTCAAATCAATAGCAGCTCGTTTTGCTTCACTCAGCAAAAGGTATCTCTGTTGTGCAGCTGCCCACTGGGAAAATATGCAAACCTTAAATATTTTGCACATCGTAACAATGAAAAGAAGGGAAAGCTGACGCTGGAAAATATCATTTGATTTCAAAAACTTAAATTATGTACAAATTATGTAAGAATTAGAATACCTTTTCATATTTGCCATCTGCAGTTGGTAACTCAAGAGCTTCAGAAAGGGAAGCTTCTATCATTGCGCTCATTTCCTCCTCCTCTTCGTCGTACTCTTCCTCTTCTTCGTCCTCTTCATCATCTTCTTCTTCGTCATCTTCATCTTCTATCTCCTGCACAGCGGTACAAAATGTCATATTTTCAGGTTTCATGAATAAAAAACGCAACTTAGGTACATGGTAATTAAGACTTTAGTGGACTGACTAAAAAACTTCCCTATGATGGTAATTAAGAAAATCACTATGCCCGTCTCGACTGTAAACAGACTTAAATACATAAGTCTCATTATTGAATTTTTGAAGAGCAGGAATGAACGTCCAGTGGTAAATAGATAACCGAGATGTAGGCCATAGTGATTTTAAACGAATATTAATCGATAAGAGTCTGAACTCTGAAAGTCTAGCTAAACGGACATTTGACTGTTGAAAAACGCAGAAGCCAGAGCGTGCGTTCGCGTTTTGTGTATGAATTTACTAATAAGTTACGCTCACGCCGCGCACCTATTGCTAGTTTCTAATGCGTATTGATTAAAAATATTTTGTTCGGCGATCGCGCCACCAGTAACCCAGTGACTACTGTTGTAGACTATTTACCAACCATTTCAGAAGAGATGTTGTTAAACCTATTATTTGTCTGGTTATCATAATAATGCCTGTATTCAAAAGCCGTGTAATATTGCCGCGGAGGGTAGTCCACAACAATCTGATGATTTAATAGATGTGCAAGGGTATAGTAAGGGACATTGCCATTGGTTAAACTTAAATAGTTAACTTTGGTAGTTGATGTTCATAGATGGATGGCGATATACCAAATGTTCAGCTACAATTACAAGTTTGTCGTTTTGTGCTACAAGACGAAAGCGAAAGATTGGTTTTTACAGCACTTTCAATATGCCACAAGAACTCATCTAAGTTGTACAACTGCGGCAGTAGATCGGGGACATACCTTAGCAAAAGCACTGATCCCGAACAAACAGGCTGTCCCGAAAGCAGCTGCTGTCCCGAACAAATACTTTGAATTCCCTGCATTCTCAGCCTGTTCAGCAGTGGTGTTAACATGTGACGATGTGGAGGTGTATCTGGGTATCAGCCGACCTGAAACGGACAAAGTTTTAACTCTGTTCAAAATAATTTAATATAATGGAAAGTAGGCATGCAGTCAAGTAGAAGTATTAACTCAACAAAGTTAGCAATAGCATAAAGGTAATTAGGTAGAAGAAAATTAATATTAAAATTTAGAGTTTCTCACATGCATTTGGTAGGAGTCTAGAACACTTTATCACTTGTGACATGACCTTGAAAAAGAGTTGATTTAAAGGGTAATGATTTAAACAGAATTATCGTTTATTTGAAATAAAATCTGTTTAAAATTATTTAGGAAATAAACAAAATCTTTCGTTTAGCTTTTATCATCTACTTGAACTTATGATCGATTGATCGCTAAAAATAGACGCTATGATTAAATATACGTAACTATGACTGTTACTTTGAACTTCTAAATCAAAGGGAAATATTCTGTTGTTGAAAGTTGAGATGCAATTTTACAAGAAGTGAAAATAGATTCAACAATTTGTCCAATAGGATATCACATAATTTAAAACTCTACAAGATTTACATAAGTTATTTTCAATAGCAAACTTTACCGCTTATCATGCCAACGCTGTTAATTTTCTGATTACCCTATCAAAATTTAAAAATTTCAGCCCAGAAAGTCTTATCTCTTTAGTAATGTTTTTAATTTGGATTCAAGATAATCTAAGCAAATAAACTGGTCTGAAGTATGTGCAAAAACGAACAACTAAGTTTTTGTTAGACTGATTAATGAGGAAGTCACATTATTGTACAAAATTATGTTTAAAGTTGCATGGTCATATATCTGGAATTAATAAATCTTATGCTGCTGTTTCACTCAAGAATCTCACTACATTTACATATCATATTATATACTGTAACTCATGTATGGAGAAATAAGGAATTCCTTAACAAATAACAAAAAATCACATTCTAACTACTACCGTATGACTTATGAGTAAATACACATTTTGTGAAAACACGTGCATCTTAAATCTACAAACTGAAGGAATGCTAAGATCTTAACACAACGAGCTAATCACAACGTTACAAGTAAACAAATCCCAAATCTAAACAGTCACGTGGGTCTTTGTTCTTAACTCGTAAATATCAGGTTTCAATAACATTACAACTCCTTTTGTAGTCTTTTCAGAAGATTCAAACTTAAATTTGTTAACCCTCATTTCAGTAGGAAAAGTAACGAATTTAAGTGGCTAAAAAACAGTAATTATCTCTCAATTAGCATGTAATTATCTCCTTAATTAGCGTAACCCTTATACATGTTGTGTCGTACACAGTTCATTATCTTTTCCCGGGTAGTAGCGTTGGGCACGTGCAGCGCATTTGAAGAGAGCGCATTACGGGACTTAATACTGTCCTTCATTACCTGGTGATTAATTCGAAATTAACCAATTAATTTATTAAACCTGTATTGTTGAGTTTATAAGTTTGGTAATTAATTTACACTTAAAACCGATTTAATATTGACTTAATATTGGTTTTATCGTTGCTCATCTATATCTGAGCAACGATAAAATCAACATTAAATCAACATCTGTGAACTTATTTGGATTTCCCAGACCCAAGGAGATACCTCAATAAACTCATCATGACCAAGTTTGTTATCGTGATCTTCATCAAACACATCAAAAATAACATCCACCAGATCTTCATCAAACTCTGAACCAGTACTTGCTTTCACTGCCCGCTGGAAATCTTTCTTTGTCAGCGCCTTCTTCGTTATTGCGTACATTCTTATTGCTACCTGTAAAATATATCCCAGAGCTTAGAACAGTTTCATACAAATTAGCATTGTTAATTAGGGTTAGTAATGCTTAATTAGTAGGACTCCTCCGGGTTTGAAATTTAGAATCAGCAATGATGTGGTCCCATAATTTACATAATTTACATAATTTACATACCTCAAAATCAGGAAAGTCGTTAAGTAGGTTCATGAACTGACTAAATTGACTGAAGACTATTTTGTGTCTTTCCTCTTCTGGTCTCGCTTCCAACCTGTCTATGTACCTGTGACAAGAAGATAAAACAGCATTTTTCAGCCAGTACAATAAAGCCCCAATTTAAGGCGCCCCAATTTACCGCAAACATTTCCTTTCACAAAATTAGGAATAAATATGAAAATGTAAACAATCGAAACCCCCCATAACAGCATAAAGTGACAAACATCGTTATCAGTTAATTAATTAATTTATCAATTATCCTAACCTAGCTTTTTTGGTATCAGGTATACAGGTTCTTCTCAAAAGCAATCTCATGAACTCATCATCTGTGATAAAGTCCAGTCCGTCAGAATAAGCATCAAACTCAGCCTTTAAACATTGTCTCTGTACACAGTGTAGGAACTTGGAAAACTTTTCAAAGTCAACCTGGGTGATTTGAAGTTGTAATAGGATTGTTTAAGAGGTCATTAGGGCAGTAGGTGCTGATGGATTTTGTGATAATTATGAGCGATGGAGCATACTAATTACTAGAGGGGGGGGGGGGTGACATGTCCGCCAATGTCCGACTATGTCCTGTCCTTTTTGGATTCTATGAGACAACGGACGTTTTTTTGGGACATTAGCGGACATTGACGGACATTGGCGGACTCGGACGGAAAATTTCTGTCAATGTCCGCCAATATCCGCCTATGTCCTTTCTTGTCCTTTTTGGATTCTATGAGACAGGCTGAAATAGACGGACGTGTCACCCCCTCCCCCACTAGAGCAGATTAATTACCTTATCTAGCTTTGGAACATTATTATGTACCATTAAAGCTGTACTAAGATTAAATAACTGAAAACAGCCCTTATATTCAAGGCTTATAAACAATAGACATTATGTAATATGCTTATAAATCACTATAATATCCGATGTTCATAACATAATGTTTATAAACTATTAACAGCACAAACCTCCTGCTCCTGATCACTACCGAACAAGATGATCTGCATACTAGTAGTAGCGTTAACACAAGGGTCCACAACCCCGCCTCCAGACATCAAATTTTCCATACTCACGAACTCTTCTTTTGAGAGGGTGTTTGAGTTTGCTCTGTCAAGGATTCTGAAGTGTCGGTAGAACTGATCTATAGGCTTATCCAGTGCACCTGTACGAATTAGATAAATAATAAATAATGATAATAAGTAGAGGTGGAATTGAAACTGTTCGAGATCAAAAAGAGGATACATAGAAATTAGAAGCTCAACTCACAAGCGGGGACAACTTTATATTATCATGTCCTGGGTTAAGTCAAGGCTAGATATCTAGCCCACCCCCCACCCCCCCCCCCCCCCTGATGTGTGTTAAGTGAAGTTCTTGAGATTAAGTAGCTGATTGGAAGACTGCTCTAGAAAAACCAAAACGATTAAATTACTGTTTTTGTCTAGATCCAATACTATACTTTAATAGCACTCACTGAGTAGAAACAAGAATTCTGAATATGAGATTATATAATCTGATCTCCCCAAAAAGTATTCACTATCCAAATCCAACTGAAGAGCTTTTGAGAGAACGTTCTGGTATTCTTCTTCAGATAGGTTCCTCATTACGCTGTCAGGTTCCTCATTACGCTGTTCAATGCCCGAAACTGCTTTGACAAAGTCCTCTCCTGAAGTAAATATAAGTAAATAATGAAACTGAAATTGTACCGCTATTTGTTATTATTCATGTTGTTATGTTTTGCTCTTTTTCATGCCTGGGATTATTTAAAGTTACTCATAGTTGAAAAGCAATTTAATGTTAAAACACAAATAATAATGTAATATTGTATTTTTTATGCCAACATTTTTATAATACTTTGTTTAGCTTTATATGCTTTAATTTAAAAAAATCCAGTATAGACAGGTTCAAATGATCCCAATCCCCAGTATCTGTAGCCTCTCAAATAACCTGTCAAGAGTCTCACACACCCCATTGGCCATTACTAATTAGGGCCTTATAATTATATGTACGTATGATGAAATAGTTACTAGAATCACCAACAAATGTGATATGACCTACAATAAGTCACATTTGTTGCATGAAACGAAGTCACTAACTCAAATTTTGGGGGAAAAGAAGATGTTCAATATATCAAGGTACCCAGTATAGAGACCCGGTATTATAGAGGCCTGGTATAGAGAGACCCGGTATAGAGACCCGGTATTATAGAGACCCGGTATAGAGACCCAGTATTATAGAGGCCTGGTATAGAGAGACCTGGTATAAAGAGGTTTAACTGAAGTGTTAATTTTTTTAATTGACCACCTGTCATAAAAGGTTCATCATTGTAACACAGCGATGCATAAGACCTAAACTGTCTCCTTAACGCAGTGTTTTTGTAGAAATCTGAAATTAGGGTGATTAGTATCGGATAAAAATGTAATCATGACAGACTTACGCCTGAATTTTGAACAATGTAGTATTACCATGATTGCTGTGACAAACAAAACATTGCAAAGATGCTGCAAACCATCAAATTTTGAGCCATTTTACAGATCAACTGAGAGCTATAGAATTAAATGTCTTATTCTTTTCAATTGTATTCACTTTTATTCACTTGTATTGCCCTTTGGGCAAATACTACTGATGAAGATTGAAGATCAAGCTTAGTAATCTATACATTAAAATCAAACTTTACTGAAAATTGAAAATCATTGTACTGACTCACTGTCTTGTTTATCTTGTTTCTCTGGGATAGATTTTGCAGCAGCAGTGTAAAACAGCACACCTACAACAGATCCAGTACCAAGTTTTCTCAGTGAAATTCCCCTCGATACGGCTGCTGCTTTCCAATATTGAGATGAATGCCGTAAGAGGGCTAAGAAACGATGCCTGTACATCCCATCAAACAGACATTTCAGCTGCATTGCATCATAAATTGTTATTATCAATTAAAAGTTTTCATACTTATTAACCAGATTGGCCAGTTTGAGAGAATCTCTTCCACAGGAAAACTTAAAAGCTATTCCGCACACTGCACATATTGAAAAGATATTCTTGGCTCGTTCGTTATCTTAATTAAAACTTCAGCATATATGATGCATGTTTGTGAGACAATTAAAATTGAAGTGACCACTCAACTTTCAAGGATTCAAGATAAAAGCGTAGATCCAAGTATATTGAATGAACAAAAGATTGGATTTTGCAAAAAGCAAAGTCAACAAATTTGAACTCGTTGAGCATTTGAAAACATAGTTAAAAAGGGACTGTACTAGAACCTTCTGCCACAACCCATTTCAATGTGAGGAGTGACTTCTTTGTGTGATCAAAATTTGACCACAAGTGCAAGTGGTCCTTCACACTCCTCCAAAGAAAGGCAACCTTGTTTTACTAAAAGTTTTGTGATACTGTAGTCAGTTAAGCAAAAATTCAGTTAAACAAAAAATTTCAATTTTATGCCATTTATTACAGTGCAGTGGTATTTGGAATAAACCCTGTAGGGTTTGACATAATATCGTGGACTGTGGGTAGCTTCTCTGTAGTAGCTCCTAAGATGTACGATCAATTTTTCTCACTCTCTGGAATCTTTTAAAGCTCTTCTAAAAACTTTCCTATTTAGACTGTTCCTTCATGAACTTGTGAAACTTTACCGAAAAACTATTTAGGTCATATTTGGTGTAAGATCTTCAATTTTTTAACTATAACCTCCTTGAATATTTCGGAATGGCCACAACCCATTTCAATATTTGAGTTTCTCTAATTCCGTCACATCTTACAATACATTTCTAACAATGTGATCGTAAAGGATCAATTAAACCAATTCAGTACCAACATACCACGATGAACTATGTAGAAGATAAAAAGTATGTCACAAATAGATCCTACTTTTGAGGATAAAGAATAGAAACGATAGGAAATAGTATGAATGGGTACTCCACATGAGAATACATGAAAACATAGTTAGTAATCAAATTACACATCAAAAAGATAACCAAATAGAGTGAAAACGAGTTTTGAAATGCAACAATAACTTTAAAAAACTACTAAAGAATTCTTGTGAAAATAAGACAGTATTTGCTTTAGCGCTCGATTTTCATATAATACTACAGTGTAAATTTTCGAAAATATGCGCGGCGCGACTTAAATTTTGGTTCCATTTAAAATTAATTTTTTGGTCAGAATTATATTCGATATATTTTAATTAGTTGTTATTACAATATATATATGGAAAAAATTTCAAAATATAGTAATTAGCACCTAAGTACAAAAAATTAAATGCGCGCAAAAAGCTTAAATTTTGACAATTTGTTTGGATTTTTACCCAAAGAAATTTTGATATAATAGCTAATAGGCGGTGCGCCATCGACAGTAAGACGCGCGCGCTGACCATTGAATGGTTTTTTAGCTCTTATTTCGGCCAGCACATTATTTTGGAAACAATCGAAAAGTTATAATACTTCCCATATAACAAATTTGTTGAAATTTGGTCAGCTTACGTAAACACTTATGTTCTACTGAACCTAATTTAGTTTGAGCGATTTCGATGGTCAGAATTTGAGTTATCAACGAATTTATACCTATTTTGTCATTTTTAGACCTCTTAATCAAGGCCAATCTCTCCCAACTAAATTAGGTTCGGTAGTTAAGTATGATTGGAAGGTTCTGACAAATTTTCAGCATGATTCATATTCAGGAACCTGAGATATTTTGCACTGAATGCTTGCAAGCAAAAGAAGTTCAAAGCGTTAGTATTTTCATGGCGCGCGGGTGATTGTGCTTTTAACTGGCAACTTTTACTGCTCGCAAATATCGCTACAGCATAGTTGTGGGCCAATTCAACAATAGGTTTAACTGCTATTTTAAAATGCCCTAGCCTAAAATCATATCGTAGTAATGGTTTTGGACAGCTATAGGGTTTTAATTTCATGTTATCATACACGGCTTGAAGTTGAATTTCTTCCAGTACAGTTGTTAAATGTGTGAATGTGATTATAATACAAAAACTTAAAGTTAAAGGGACTAATACAATTGACAATGCATCGATTCGAAGCTGCAAATGAATTGTTAGTTGCTGTTATGCGTTGGACTCCTCTCGCATTTGCATTTTACTATTTACCATAATATTAACAGCCAGAGTTACTTATGTAAGGGGCCATCTCATTATTAATATTGATGCCGATGACGTCCGCCAAAATTGCAGATTTTAAGACTACCTACTGTCCGAATTTTGCATTTTGAAAGCCACTCCATTCCCGGGACGTCCAGCTACTTAATTTCATTTCGCGACATGATATGAAATATTTAGGAGGCAGTGCCAGTACCCAGTAAGAAAAGTTGTGAGTCTAGATTCTTGTGAGCAGCTGTGGGAGTCGACTTTACGTTCCAATGCAAGATACAGGGGTCTAATCTTAGAAATAGAGGGGGGTTGCTGCAAAAGGGTTGATAAAGGAAACCTTCGTTGGTTCCGGCAAAATTTCCGTGACTACTAGTACCAAGTTTCTCGCAGATACTATCCATGCCAGGTTTAGATCTCAGAACTATCACATTTGCCACGAGACACTGTAGTAAGTAATTCTACCGTTAATAACTCATCGTCATAGATTCTGTAAGCAGCTTAGAGATATCTCAGATTGGCCGACTCGACAAGTTTGTGACAATTTTAACACCGCCCGCGCGGCGTCAAAATTTGTTTGAAAAGATGTTAGCAATTTACTCTCTATGACGAATGACAAATTTATGTAGACCCTTTTCAAAGTGCGCTGATATTTTGCGCCAATTTTCAACGGGCGAGACCAGAGTCGAAACGAAATAATACAGAAATATACATTTATAAGTATTAGAAATTATAAAATATCAATCTCAGATCATTTGGACTGCTTCAGAAACACTCCGTACTTAGGAATTTCTATGCGGCATTCTACTTCAAATGTTTCGTTTGTGAAGGCCTCTGCAAGTTTCGTCTCTCTTTCGTCTCTCTTAGCGTCTCTCTTATTGTGAGTCCGGGTGGAGACAGGAGGAACCAGTTGGACAGGATATCTAAAATGGTTAAAGTTTAAGGTTATTGAATTAAATCTAAGGTTATACTTAAAATATCACCAACTTTAATTAGAAGTATTGGTAACATAAATAACACTGTCGAAGGGTAAGTAAAATGAACTGTCCAATATACAAAATCGCTTTTATTGTAAGAAAAACTAACCTTTTACCAGTGCAGAAGTATAGTAACACTGGGACTAGCTCATGTAAACTGGTTCTGAAATATAAAGATAATCAGTGTCATTTGTCTACAAATCGGTTCATTCACTGAATTACAATATTTAGTAGACTGGTTTATAATTATATGGGTGTATTTCAAACATTGAGTAAGACTTAGAAATATTAATAAAGCCCGTGTGAAGATGAGTTCTAATGAACAACATTTCTAAATTAAAACTATACTTCCTTTTTTTTGACTGAGTGATCTTGGTCTTTGGAGAGATTTCTCCAGACTGGCACTTGGATAGCCAAGACACATGAGCTTTGTTGACATGTCGGTTGTGGTTTTTTCTTTGAACAGACATTATACTAGGGGGGGGAATAGAGATTTTAAATAAACTAAATAATATTAAAACATGAAACTGTGGGCATGAAGGTAACCAATAAGTGTTGCGAAAATTACATAGATGCCCACTTTGACATATAGTTGTCAGAATTATGTACAGTTATTTACAGATTAAAAAGTGGTATCCGAAACAAAAGGGATGAATCTGACCAGAAAAAACATTTCTGAGCAAACTCTTAGAACATTTCAAGAACAAACTTTTAAAACAACATTTCCAACTGAAAATGTTTAAAACAACAATTCCAACTGAAAAATGGTAGTTGGATAAGGTAAATCAAAACATGAAACTGTGGGCATGAAGGTAACCGATAGAAAGTGTTGCGAAAATTACATAGATGCCCACTTTGACATATAGTTGTCAGAATTGTGTACAGTTATTTACAGATTAAAAAGTGGTATCCGAAACAAAAGGGATGAATCTGACCAGAAAAAACATTTCTGAGCAAACTCTTAGAACATTTTAAGAACAAACTTTTAAAACAACATTTCCAACTGAAAATGTTTAAAACAACAATTCCAACTGAAAAATGGTAGTTGGATAAGGTAAATCAAAACATGAAACTGTGGGCATGAAGGTAACCGATAGAAAGTGTTGCGAAAATTACATAGATGCCCACTTTGACATATAGTTGTCAGAATTGTGTACAGTTATTTACAGATTAAAAAGTGGTATCCGAAACAAAAGGGATGAATCTGACCAGAAAAAACATTTCTGAGCAAACTCTTAGAACATTTTAAGAACAAACTTTTAAAACAACATTTCCAACTGAAAATGTTTAAAACAACAATTCCAACTGAAAAATGGTAGTTGGATAAGGTAAATCAAAACATGAAACTGTGGGCATGAACTGTTACCATAAGCTTAAGAAACAGAAACGAAGCAGGAATCACAATTCCCCTTTTATCAAATTCTATTTCTGAAAGACAAGGATATCTATTAAGAGACTGCATATTCTGCTCAGTATTTTTTTGGCACACTCAGGCTGCTATTACCACAAATTCTTGATGCTGGCATATTCTTGAATTTATTCACACATTAAAACATAAAGGAGGCATTCATTTTAGAGAACATTCCAATTATAAGCATAGAGGATGTTTTTTTCAAGTGCTGATAAAATACTCTGGGTGTTACTGATTGTAAAGTTGATTTTGCTACCTCTGGCCTTACCTGCTTTTATGACAATTTCTGGAATGCATGGTATAATTTGAGCAGCAGGAACATGGTATTGGGGAGATTCTAGGTGAAAAGTATTGTTTGTATTCACTACCTTGGCCATAAATCGAACCTGAAAACAATGTGGATAGTCTCCATGAAAGACAGCTAATAGGGAGCAATCAGGGCAGTTTTTATTTTGATCAACAGATAGAATTTTTGCAGGGTACCATATTTCATCTTCATTTATGCAATATACTGCAACAAAACTTTGAGAATGGAGGGTATTAAAGAATGGATCATCAAATGATAGTTTTATGTGATCTGTTGAATCAATACTCCTGTGGGGATATTTTTTCATTTCATTATGTTTTGCAGTAGCCTTTTCTATGAAAATGGCAGGATCAATGATATTAAATCCTGTTGATTCACCAATTGGGTTGACCAATGTTTTCAAATTTTCAATACGTTCTTCAACTGGTAAATTATCATATTTCCTTGTTATTTTGTTCATTCTCTTTACATTGAAACGCGTTTGAGGAACTGAGTGATGGCCTATCACATGTTGTTGATACTTCAGTTCTAAATCAACTATTTTTTTAAGCACATCTAGGTTAGAATTTTGACTACACATCTTGTCAACTTCTTCAGGTGAAGTAAATGGACCACCATGGTCTTTGACAGCGTCTATTATATCAAGTTTTTTCTTAAGAACCTTATTTCGCAGCTCTGTTAAATGAGTTAGGTGCAATGATTTTTCAGACTTATGGACTAGCGCATCATTTGCAGTCAACAACTTTTTAAATTTTTGAGCTCCAGATTTTCTAGTTTCTTTCATTATTTCTCCCAATTCTTTAGCTGGTATTTTACCTTTAATACAATCACTGCCTAAAGGACTAGATTTAAAAGTTTGGCCTATTGATAAAGTTGCCATTGATGCCATAGGTGCACGTCTACTGTCTTGTCTTGTGATTCCAACACTATGTTCAGGAGGGAGAGATGTCGTTGCAGCTAAATCAATTATATATGGGTTTCTAGCTAACTCTTTTGCAACAACTGAGTCTTCCCCTATGTAGAATTCTTTGGCCTGTCTATCTATGACTATTAAATACTCTTCAGTTAACAGCTTAAGGGTCATTTTAACAATTTCAAAGTTTATGTCACATTCTGGGGAACTTATTTCCTCAAAGATGGAGATGAACATTTCACGATATTTCTTCTTTGAAATTATACAGAGTTGCTCAAATTCTTTTAGAAACTGCAGTCTATCTGGTTTTAAGTATGGGCTAGGATCTTCAGTAAGTGATTGTAAACTTTCAACGAACTTGGGAAAAAATCTAAGCAGCTCTGAGTGGCACAAATTTGAATGTCCATACTGAGTTTCAGAACCAACAGCAACTAAAAAGGGTGCTGTAACATGATAGAACAGTAATGTTATTGAACAAATACATTCTTTAAAAAACGGACACTGTATGTACAAGGAACAAGCCTTGTACATGTTGTTTCCAGCATAAACTCTCGTAATAAACTCCTTAACATTGCTAAAGCTGTATAAAAGAATAAAACACATTTCTTGAGAGAGACCAAATTTAGAACTGTCGGGGTTTTTAAAGAAATTCTTCTCACCATCTTCAGCTACAATTTCCAAAAAAGTTTGAAAATCATTAGTCATGGCCCAAGAATTATTTTTGGCACTATCACCTACAAATTTAAAAATTGCTCTGAGCATTGTTTCAATAGTGGAATTACTTACTTTATGAAATGATTGATTAAATGGACGAACCATTTGGTCACTAATTTGAAGAAACTTTTCAACATCAATCAGTACTTTAGTTACCCCAGTGTCCAGTGCTGGAACTATGTGCGCATTGCAGTGCAAGAAAATCATTGACCCATCTATTCCAAGCAGATGTATAAGTTCATTAATTTTCTCATTAACCGGTCTCATTTGTGATGCATCGTCAGTGACTTGAAATTTAAGCTTAGTTAGAAGATGCTTAAATGATTTTTGTATATCTTCTGCAGAGGCACTGTCAGCTGAGGCAGCAGCTGCCAATCTAAGAATTTCAATAACGCTGCGGAACGTTCCGGGTGCAGTTGTATCTACAACTTGCTTTACACCCAAGGTCATGTGCTTGAAACTTTTTTCCTTACTTACTGGATCCATTGATCCAGTCATAACACCGACAGTTATGGCTTTCCCCCTCTTTATTGAGAGGTGGTCGAATATTAGGGACGCTGCGTCACAATTTTTTATAGCAACAGCACTAGATTTTATAGCAGCTGGCCCCAGTACATTTTTTTCAAAACTTCTGGTGAAGCTCTTAGCAGGAAGAGTAAAATTGGAAATAGGTTTCTTGGCAGGCTTCTCAGACTTATTTTTGGTAGGTGGAAGAGCTTGTCTTAGTCTATTCTGGGGAGTAAAATTTCCAATATCCCACTTTTGACCAAAAACCGAGTTGGCTAATGCAAGGAACAAAGGCATGGTGTTTTCCAAAGATACACGTCCTATTTGACGGAGTAGTATAATACCCAAATGAATAGCTGGGTTAATATTTTTGATGGAATGTCGGACTTCAATTTGAGGAAACTGATGTTGATCAAAATTCTCATTAGTTTTTCTAATAACTGAGTCGAAGTTTGGGTCCTCAATTTGATTCTCGATTACTTCTAAATCATTCTGAATATCTTCTAATGACAACAATTTGTTCGTAAGATAGTCAATATTTTCATTGGAAGATTTCAATTTCCCAGTTAGATCCTTGTTATCTTTAACAACAGTATTTTGCATGACTACATGTTCTTGAAATTTCTCCTGCAATTCAAAATGACTTGCTTGCAAATTCTTTAAATCGTTGGCCAAAACCAAATTTTCGTTCTCTTTTTGTGTATATTTAATTAGCAGTAGACGATTTTGAAGTTTCAGAGACTTAATACGAGAGTTTTGTCTAATTACAGTAGACCTATGTGCCAGAGTATAGTTTTTAGAAGGCCTCAAAGTCAGAGCCGAGTTACCAATACAAAGAGGTTGAGTAAGTTTAGCTACCTTAGGGGGGCTGATACATTGAATACCTGGGGACAGAGATCGTTTTTTCACAACCCTAGTTCTAAGAATAATACGATGAACATTTTGCCCTGGCCGGATTGGAACTGGATTAGAGACTATGGCTTTTAAATCAAATGGAGTGTCACCAATAAATCGTCTGGATTCTTCAGACAAACATAATTGAAAGCTTTGACGTAGATGGTCCCAAATCAACTTAACATCCTTTCCTAGAATAGCTTGGCCAGTAATCAGTTCGCAAATGGAGGTGACATGAACAAGACTGAAATAAATACCAGGCTCACTTTTTTTCGAACAACCTGAATATCCCCCGAACTTAACACCAGTTCTACGATTCGAACAAGCCTTTCTACTGAAGTGGATCGACAATAAAGAATGCATGTGCAGATATGTAACTTCTGACGGTTTCAATAAACTTAGCTTGGAGTTAGGCTGAAAAAAATCTACAAGTTCTAGATCAGGCAAAATATTTCTAAATAGTTCGTACATTTCAAGGAACTTAGCATCTTCGGCACACAATGAAAGTGTAGGGGTGAGGGAACTACAGCTCATTATCACAGAGAAAAATCAGGCAACATTAAAATTAGGAACTAGGCTATGACCGTACAAATTATAATTAAACGTTGAAGGAAATGGAATTTTAGGAAACAAATTTTAAACGTCTGATATGATAGCGCTCGATTTGCGTCTCATAAAATTTTTTCAATTGGTCGGTTTAAATATTGCCTCCTAAAGCCGCGCGCTATAAAATGTGAGACCTAAATTATGTCCATTAATTATTTTAAAATATATATTGCAAATTTGGTACTGAAAAATTTGTCACAGTCTCACTAAAAAGATGGTGTAAAAATTTTTGAGATCCGAGCAAGTTTAATTTTAACGCGCACCACCTATAGCTAAATTTGAATGCCATCATGTGCGGCTGTGTTTAAGCTATATTTATTATTTATGCAAATTTTGCCGCGACATATCAACAAAGTTAACTTGCTCAAAATATCAACAAAAAAACATGGTATTTTGTTGTCATACGTTGTATGACCCGCCGCGCACGAAGTGCGCGGCTCCCCCTGTAGCGTCGAAGACGCTACAGTATAGTGAAGCGACCGTGGGGGTCACCACGTGATACAAGTATTTTGGCCTATTTTTGGCCCAAAAATCAGAAAATGCCTGTAAAAGCGTTTACTACTTAACTAGCGACCCCGGGTTATTTATATTTGTTCATAAACAGATTCGGCAGAATGACAGGGTGATCGCGCCGCCGGGTCGCGCCGGCCCAGTAAAATGTACTGCAAAGCAAAACACAATTAAAAGCAAACTCAGTTGTCAGTGGACAGTAAACGGAACGTAATTTCAATTCCGAAATATAAAATATGTCTGACTAATATAAAATTTGTCTGCGGACAGACGAAGGTCACAGTCGATTGCGTTGAAGATCATTTGCGAACTGCGAAGACTTTGCAGTGAACGGAAGGTAATTTACGAAAAATTTGTAGCGCGATGCATGCACTACTGACTACTGGGCCGCGTCGCGCATCAAATAATTCTTCTCGCAACCACAGTTCCGTAGATCGGCGAGATGCACTGCACTGGGCCTATTGCCTAACCGAGCTGGGAAGGATTGACATCGTGAATCAAACGAAAAATATGCATCATGTCTGACTGTGTCCAACAGCTGACGAAGTTCGAAGATCATTTGAAGAATGTCGATCAATCTCAAATTAACACTGATAACACATAACACATAGCATGACAAAAATTAAACTAAAAGTTCATTCATTTGCATTGATAAAATGTTGGAGTAATGTGTAATAAGCGTCGATAATTGATAATTCAATATGTGGACTCTACATTGTAAATTATGTGTTTTAGGTTCCAATGGTTTAAGACGATTGGGCTAAATAAAATATCTGCTTGCTTTCGCTCAGATCTTATATTATCTCATATTATGTCTGACATTACCTTTATCCTGCACTACTAGTACTACGTGAACAAATGAAACTGCAGATTTCAAATAAATAAACAAACATTTAGTAAACAGCGTATAATCCTACCATCCTATTCAAATAAAACACTCGACCACCAATTAGGTGAACACATATGTTCCCATTTTTAATACCCGAATAGTCGAGTTGAACTGAACTGTTAACGAAATACAATATCCGTTAATAATAAAGAAATGAAACCTATTGAACCCATCTGATAAGCGACGTGCTTCACCAAGCTGCCTCGTATCGCGGCAGCACGTGTAAAATAGTGGCCGCGCGACGCGCACTTTTGTGTGGCAGGCCCCGTGGAGGAACTTAATATAATGTATTGCGTTCTTATGTGGCTAGCTGTGAATGTTATAGAACACATAAGACAGGTTCAATCAGTTCCATATCACTCTTATATTAACAAATTACCATTAAACAGTATAAACGTACAAGCGTTGCATGTATGTATAATAGTTTATTATATTGAGCGGAGCTAGAGTTATAAACACATTTATAAACATTGATCATAAAATTATACCAGGCGATGGGAATATATCATATGAAATCATCATATATTTTATAAACATCTAGGCATAAAAGCATAATTGTATAAAGCTAATCCAGGATAGAGCTGATACAATATATAAGTTATTTTCTTTTGTAATCAATTACTTATAGTACTTCTATTAAAATCGATATATAATCATACCATTAAATTTCCTGTAACATAAAAAGTTAAGTTATTTGGATCCTCTGACTGATATCCCATTTTGATCACGATTAAGCATGGTCGGATGAATAATAAAGAATTTTGCGTTTAGTAATGATAAGAGAATTTATTTTAAATCTTACGATTGATCGCAAAAATTTAAAAAGATTTAATTTAATGGGCTGACAGTTAAAACCTTGGCCTTCTAACTCGAATTCCAGCGGGAAAGCATTTTTCGCTTACATTATTCAAACTGAAACAGCATACAAAGGTTCACTTCATATTGTTCGGTTACATATTCTATTTATAACATAAAAGCAGCAAAATCTCATCATGGCGAGCAGCCAAAAATTACAACTAACGAGAACTAGAGACACGTGACTCCGGAGACAGCACGTGATCTGGCACGTGACCCCGGAAAGACACGTGGTCTCCCTGGCAGTGTCTCTATATTTTGTCTTTACTTGTGATCCAGCAGGCTGGTTGCGAATGAAGTTTGATTATCTCCTTCATTTCTCCGTAGATGTTGTCGTAAGGTCTCCCTGGCTCAATGCTCACGCATGCTGAAAAGTTTTAGAAAAAGGTTAGGATTCTTTAAATACGCTACATCATACATACATAATAAATTTACATATAAAGATAGTATCTCATGACTTTAAATTGATTTATTTAGATTGACATGAAATAAAATGTCTGAAAGTTTGTATCTGGATTAGTGGACGGTAAGACCAATTCAGCTTCCCCGAGGAGGATGTTTAATTTGACTACTGAAACCAGAACTAGTAGTGAAATCAATCGGGCGGATTAATTATATCAATCTATTGGCCATATCTTAACTTGACAACGACAGGAATGAACAAATAAACACAGCTAACTCCTCATTAATTAGTTAACTACCTGTGAAGTAATGTTTGAACTCGTGTTCAAGTCTCATCGCACGTTCGTAGTTCTTCTTAGCCTGCTCCTCACTCATGCGACTGTTCCTGCAGCTGAGCAGTCAACATTTAATAGGTTTATTAATTAAATAAATAAACTAAATAGATTAAATCAATAATTTTTCAGCACAGTTTACATGGAGTTTGAAATATTAATTGATAATATTTTGATAATAGCTTCAAGAGAACGGATTAGTCTCTTCATAGCTATTTTTCGTAATTCTGTTCTTACACATTAAAAAACTAAGAATAAACCTTACCCCGATTCTGCATACCACAATAAATTACAATGTTTGAGGTAAATACCTGATGGCCTCAGGAGAAGTCGGTCGCAGGAATATTACAATTGGGAAGAGTTGAGCTTGTCTGAGTCGTTTTATAGCGTACCCGCTGACATCGAGTATGCACATCTTACCCTTAGATTGGTATATTGTAAGATACATGTTTTATTATTGACACTCTTCTAACAGAGTAAAAATCAATACCACAAAGAATGAGACTGGTAAGACGCATGGCGAAAGTCAAACTGAATTGCCTGTGAAATAAATATTAACGTGTGTGTTTCCCTTCGTGTCCAACAGCATTATAAATATTAACAGTTTTTCAGCCTCTTCAATCGGATCAGAAGGCCTAAAAAAGTAAAATCTGTAATTTTTTTTCAACTCACTAAGTCTGATACATCCCTCACACTGGCTATACTGGTACCATACAGATTATCATTAAACTGCCCAGCTTCAATGAAAAGATGGTTTTGTATGTCACGTTCCATTTCAGCTCGAGATGAAACGAAAAAGTAATCTCTACCGTGGACTTCGTGCTCTCTCTTTTCTCTTGTTGTATCTGGAAGGAGTAGAGGTTAAATTGGAAAAGTCGGATTTTCTACAGAAGTCATGTATTTGTACGTATACTTGGTATTTTGTATATCGTTTGTGATTCTACTCCGCCGAAGCCATTTTTGGAATGAAATATTGTATTGGACGTGCAGATTGCTGAAATAATATTGCATAATCTTTACATAATGTTTAATGCCAGGTGATTTAAGTTATAGGTTAATATTGGTCCATTCATATTATTTGTTGAGAACCTCTTCATTATTGTGAGTCTGGACGAAATTTATAAATCGATCGATGCAAGCTGCGCTAATTTAAGCAAGCAACGTACGCGCGCGCGTGAGTACAGTGTATGCATGACGCGCGCAAAACAGTGAGTTTTAAAGCTAGCGTGTTTCCAACATTTTGCTCAAAGTATTGCTAGTCGCAAAAGCTAAGTTTCCAAAATGGTCCCACATGGATCAATAATTGCAAGAACTAGACCCGCAATAGCATCAAGCGCGCTCTTGGCCACATTCCTAGGTGTGCCCAATTAAAATTAATTGCTTGCTGGTGAGGGATCTCATAATAACACCAATTAATTGGATGGTTGGATAACAGTTTTTGATTGGAATATGTTTTTAATATCGCATACGAGTGAAAATATTTGAATCCCCTGGGAGTAACATTCCAGATTAACGACTCCAAATGCCTACATTCCTACAAGCTACCTCTTTGCAATTTTATACTTAAAACTATTAAGAATTTCGAGTTTTACAACTCGTATTGGCTTTAAAATCCGAAGAATTTAAGATCGTTGTGACCCAAATTTTAATGAAATTAGAAACTTGATCTCCAGATTGAGGTGGTGGTGGAATGTCACAAATATGTGACGACATATTAAATGATTACAGCGGTTGTTTGTGATGGTATGCGCGTGGTATTGTATTACAAACCTACAATTTATGTCACGTGATATTCTCACAGTCTCACGCGGAAAGACGTTACTGTTTACATATTGAAACAATAAACATTGGCCTGTCTCGAACAGTGGACTTAAATTGTCGACATTCCTTTCATAACAAGTTATTTGTTTATATTGTGGTCATTTCAGCGATTGATAAATTTTGATACTGGTGATGGAAAGATGAATTTGTTTTGACACGTGATATTTGTTTTGACACGTGATAATGATTCGAAGATTTGATTGGATAACCACTGTCATGTGTCAATAAAAATGCAATACATTACCATATCACTGTCTTGGTCTATCAACAATTAATAATAATTAATTGAATAAATAGAAACTGAATAATTTAAAAGTAACTAATTTAAACTAAACTTAGTAACTCATTTAAAGTAAACAGTAACTAATATTTACTAATAGTTACTAAAAGTAACTAATAATAACTAACTACGTGATGGTAGCTAAAAGTAACTAAAAGAGTAACTAATAGTAACTACAAGTAACTAACGTGGAACACAGCTGCCGAACTTATCAGGAAATTCCGCCATAAGATCGTCGTTTACTCTGTCTTTTAACGGTCCGAGGATTATCACGGGCCTCATGTACTTTACTGAAATAAATTTATATGTTAGTTTTTACAAACAAACAACAAACAAACAAGAAACAAGAAACAAGTAACAAACAAGTAACAAACAAGTAACAAACAAGTAACAAACAAACAAACAAACAAACAAACAAACAAACAAACAAACAAACAAACAAACAAACAAACAAACAAACAAACAAACAAACAAACAAACAAACAAACAAACAAACAAACAAACTTACTCCAGGTTTGAACTACAGGTTCGTAAGTATACACGGCGTCAGTAGAACTCTCAGAAGTACTGCCCATCATCATAGCTTCCTCTGAACTTGAACTGAACTTAACTGATCTGTTCCTAGACCTCTCTTTCTTCTCCACCCTGTTAAATAGATTAAATAAATAAAGGTTTCATTTTACATTTCACATTCTGCACATCATACCGCACCGTACATCGCACTTTTTACAAGTAAACAAGTTTTTTTCTAAATTATTTTGTTATTAATTAAGACTATTAGCTGCACTACACTTTGTCAAGCCGAGAAGCAAGGTCTCTGGTAAACCATACAATTCCACTTAGAATTCCAACTTTCCAATAAACTGGTGGGGCTTCTTGGCCAAAAATAGAAGGTACATTGGCAACAGGAATATAATATTTTAATTGCTTCAAGTCCTAGTTTTTAAAATACAGTGTTCCACGTCACATGTAGTGTTTCTCTGGAAGCTGTTACATGTCGTGTTTGTACTGATATTGCTATGTAAAGCCTAGAAAACTAAAAACTTCCCACTTGAGTACTTGTAATTTGGGCCATGTTTTTAAGCCCTATAACAGTGGAGTAATCTAAAACTAAAAAGTAGACATTTATCAACAATCGGGGTTTTGCTGTAATACGATTGTTTTATTTTGAGAAAGCATAGATAGTCAGAAAGTTGCCTTGTGTTTTACACTATCTGTTAGCAAGAAATACAATTTATATGGTATGTATCATATTATTGCTTTGTTATATTTTTACGTATTTATACGTTTTACACTTTTTTGATAATAAGTTACGTTGCGCTTTTTGAGATCGCTGGTTCTATCTTTGTGTAATTGTGTATAAATATATTGCTAAGTGTAGATTTATAGGAAATAATAATTATTTATAGTTTTGTCGAATGTAGGCCTTTTAACAAAGTCAAGCTTGAATAACAATATTTTAACAATAAAGTGTAATCTATAAAATCTATTCATATAATTATTTACTGATAACTAAGCAAATCCTATAATTTATGTCTTCATTTACAAATAAATCTCATTATTTTGGCACGGAACCAACAGTTAATTGCATGCTTAGCTTAGTTAACAAACCAAGTATGATAAATGAAACTAGGCTTGTAACTGGCAGATGACGAAGATTTGTCAACAAATTAGCAACTAATTAGCAACATTTGCTGCAGTGTTGCACTCGTTGATTTGTTGAAGTCGGTGTGAGTGCAGTGACAAGGAGTGTCAGAAAAACTGATGAAAACTAACTGCAATTTCAAAATGTAAAAACTTATTACGAAGAATATGGTAAGTGGCGGGGAGTATCTCTAATCGAAATATATCTCTGAAATCTTATCAGAGAACTATGCAGTTTGAAGTATCAAGTGTCAGATTGTTTCGCCAACCTTAAGAATCGAGGCGTTTCTTTCCACGAAATACAGAAATATATTAAATAGAATTTTGCAAAAACTTCTATAATCTTTTATAATCCCCCTCCCTCAGCTCCAGTGGTAGTTGTTAATTTGCTGACATGAACTAATCAGTTAGGTCAGTGTCACGTGTTACTGTGTCCGTGTTACTGTTTCACGTGTTACTGTGTCACGTGTTACACTGATTATAGAAATGTTTACACCAATTGGAAGAAATTTTACTCAACATGTAAAAACTTATATCTTGAGGAGGAAAACATTGTGCAATTTTTATGTTGTGGTTATAATCAATATATTATCGGGGAACTAAAGTCTCCATTCGCCACAACTACACAATATTATGCTTGCTAATAAGCTAATACAGTAACATGATGTTTAGTGTGGAAATGAAAAAGATCAAAAATAAGTTTAGTACCATGTTTCTATTATAGGGGGCAGCATTTTTGTTTCTTCATAGCAAGGCGATTCAGATGGATGCCTTATCCAACGACCCACTTTCCTATACCACTTCCTTCCCAACTTTTATTACCCACATTTTCTCACATTAACAAAGAAAATGTGGGTAATAAATGTAGGTAATAAAGTCATTATTACCCATCTCTTTTACCCACATTTTCTCACTTTATTACCCACATTTATTACTCACATTTTCTCACTTTATTACCCACATTTTCTCACTTTATTACCCACCTCTTCTTGCTGGGAATAACTCCGCGTCCCTCCTCCGTACCGTCAGCTGTAACCCTTCTAGCCTGCCACCACTCATCATCACTTGCGTTTATCTGGAGACATCATAATATCAAATAGACAAATACTGACAAACTTACTGACAAACTTACTGACAAACTTACTGACAAACTAACTGACAAACTTACTGACAAACTTACTGACAAACTTACTGACAAACTTACTGACAAACTTACTGGCAAACTTACTGACAAACTTACTGGCAAACTTACTGGCAAACTTACAAACAAAAGCATTACTACCAATATTTTGGATAAATGGGCCCAGTACTGGGAGTTATCAGAGAAAAACAGATAAGATAGTTTTGATACTGGTGGGGAGGTGCAGTGTGAATTTATTGTTCATGACACGTGTTAGTTAATTTGAGTTTTGATTGGTCAATGCTGGAAGCTGATTGAATATTCACTGTCACGTGTGACAGCTCCTCACTAGCATCCAGATAAATTGTTTTAAACACGCACTAGGTCAACATCAATCATCATATTAAAAAATTTATTATATTTCTAATTATTAATTTTATAATTAATTATTAATTAAATCTCCTTACCACGTGTAGAATGTCACCGTGTCTAAAACTGAGACCCGGTCCCGGTAAATCAGGGTCTTTTGATTTGTCGTAGTCAAACAAAGCTCTTACGTACAGACTCTTTTTCATATTCGTTTTCAATGTCCCTGAGAAACCGATCATTAATTGTTAAAACAAATGAATTAATGTAACTATCAAATAAGTAATTTAACTACTAAATTAATGTCACCACTGTATTAAATACTAATGAACCTATTATTACTACTACAATTAACAGTCTACAAAAATATTCACGTCATAATGTAAAATTATTATAATGTAAAATTATGATAATGTAAAATTATGATAATGTAAAATTATGATAATGTAAAATTATGATAATGTAAAATTATTATAATGTAAAATAACGTAAGATTGATGATTACCGGATCCAATACTGGCGGGGGAGGAAGCTGAGTCGTTCTGTATCGTACCAAGCTGCTTCTCAAACCTTGCAAAACCTGCAAAGATAATTAAATTATTCGTTGTACAGAAATTAATTTAATCTAATGTAAATACAGAAATTAATATAATTTAATTTACACGGAAATTTATTAATTAATTACATTACATTTTCTCACTGATCCATCATAGGACATCAATCGGATTATACAAGTTGTTGTTTGTGCATGTTAACTTTTGGACAAGGCCAACAGCCCAACACTCAACAGTCTATCTGTCTAGTGTCTATGCTATGGATATATTTTATTATGGAAGTAACTATACACATTACTTTTGAATGGAAGTTATGTAAAATTTCGTCAATCTTGGAAGATGATTTACGTCGCCGCCCCAAATTTAGCAGCAAATAATTCCGTATAGTAGTGATTTAGCCTTCCATGGAAGGATATTGTTGAAGTGGGAATCTATTGGCATGTCAGGAATTTTTGTTTAAAAAAAATTAAAATTTTTGTAAAACTGCACTGTCCATAAATTCCTCAGGTCTCTTTTTGATCTGCAATTATTCAACAAGGGCAAGTAGAAACAATAGAGATTGCCAATAAATCTACAGTTTGTCGATGTTCAGTTCACTCATGGTCCAAATAATATCGATTGGACCTCTTAAACTAATGGGGAAAACATTTTTAAGAATTGCTAGAGAGATTTTAACCATGCACCCACAATCGTGGACCAGAATGGATAGGACGAATCTCTGACAGGCATACATATCGGGATTTCAAAATCATAATTCTCTTGTGATAAAAAAGCAGACGAGTCTATCATTTTCTATTTAAGAAGAGCTTACCTGAAACCTAATGCTTGGCATTTCGTTATTTTATTAAGTGTTTGTGTAATCTAAAGTCGGAATTGAACAAGTTTACCTGGACAAAAATACCTTTTTGTAAATTGAAGGTGAGCTAAAACCTAGAACCATTTCCATTAAAAATAACATTCATTTTATTTGGGCTCCCTTTTAATTGAGGTTATGTAAAGCATTCAAGTATTGCTATACGAGGGCGGGGGTTAGAAATTAATTAGTTCAACCATGGAGTTCACATTTAACCATTGAATGATCTTTTCAGCATTAAAGGCCCCGACACGGCTTCAAATATATTTAGCGACCCGTTTATTACCAAAACCATGTTTCCAGACAGCCGTCTCTCAGCTGGTGTCACCGTGTCTTTGTCACGTGACCTTGTTAAATTCAAGGAGATTAGACGAGTATTTCAATTGTTCTAGTTCCGAAATGAAATGAAAGAAATGAATTGTTTGTTTCAAGTTTCAACAAAACAATCTCAGAGATGTTACAAAATGTTCACAATTCCTCGAGGTAACAGATTTAGCACATGCAAATTGAATTGGAGTATCACACCTGATTTTACATGTGACCAATCTATAAGCCTCCTACTGAGTCTCAAGTCTGGTTATTCAATATTAAACTTCGTTTGTCTGATATCCATAAAACTATGGATACTATTCAGTCTCAGTGATCATTCTAGCATCTTTAACCTTCTTGGTATCATGTCACTCGCTGGAGGAAACAACCAACTTGGATGAGAGTCTTGACGATACTTTGATTCAGATGGCAATCTTGCACAAATCCATCATTACAAACCAAAATTCCACGATTAGGCAATACGTGAAGGATCTCAGGACGGAGCTGGTATCAAAGATCAAGATACAGGCCGAGAAACTTGCACAGTACGAGAAAAAGATAGAGACACTAGAAAAGAAGTTATCATCTCTGGAACAGAAGCAAGATAAAACTGACGCCATCCTAGTAAGCCTCTCCAACGATATCAAATCATCACTAAACAGCTTAACCACCAAGATCAATTCAGTAAACTCCACCTTAACCACCAAATCCAAACATCTGAAAACAACAGTGGAGGAAGTGGAAGGGGACCTGAACTCGGTTCAGTCTGATGTAACCACATTGAAGGAGGACGGAGTAAAGAAAGGTCCTGATGGTAGGATAGACAGGGCTCTACTTCCGGGTTCTTACGCTGACTTCTCTCTGGAGGACGTGGCTTGGGGGAGTCTGCATGTGGCAGCTGCTGCCGCTTGTAGGGGGGCTGCGCCAACTGGTGGGACAGGTCACTATGCAAATCAGGTAATTCCGGTGATTGTCGGCTCCACGTGCCATGCAACATGTAATGCGTATACACCGGACTCAAAAACGTACTTTTACTGTGCCTCTACTGTGACCTTGGTCGGTTTTGTAAAACATGCCACCAATAATCTGGCAAGTGTTGGTGAATACTATAACTACGGATGTGCAGCACCTCATACGGCTACTTCGGAGCTGAGCAAATCTGATCATGCCTCTTTAGAAAGACCCGGTTACATGACTTACTGTTGTTGTAGATCTCCTTAACTCTCATTTCATAATACGTCATAGTTCATACTCATATTCTCTAATTATTTGCTACATATATAGTAGTGTTGTAAAATGTATTGAAAAATTGTTTTTGTAGAGGTTAACACGTGATTTATTTGACTTTTTTTCAGTTTGTCCGTTGCAGAGCATTTTCGTCGGATTTTATGACAATCTCTATTGTATTAGGTAACTTGCCAGTCAACCCCTATAACTGCAAAGTACACTCAGCAAAAAGTGAATCACGCACTAGATTATATCCTGTCATCTGTAGTGTATTTATACAGTAGTTTTAGTAGGACAAAATTTAGTTTACACGCTACTAAAAGTTGTTACTGTGTAGTGTGTAGTACGGTAGTTTTTATATTCCATTAGTCACTTGTCCACACATGAGTTTTAGTACAAATTACAATATCTCGGGATATAGTACATATTGCATGTCTTGAGAAATAGTAAAAGTGTTTGATTGTAGTACAAAATTTAAGACGCTTGCACATTTTCAGACTTGAACACGAATAAAAATAACACGAAGAAAAACTTTGTGCTTGACTATTTTCTGCGGTATAATTGGTTTGGATATATGCATTCAAACACAAATTTAGGTTTGAGAAGCTATTATTATGCAGTATTATATTACGCAGTATGACTGAATAGTTAGAAATGCCTGCTTTTCACATATAAATAAATATTAAATATGCTATTATTTTATGTAACCGATCAAAGTTTACTATTTGACATTACTTATCATAAATCAGTGTTAAATTCTTATCAGTAAATATTTATTAATTGATTTAACATAAATAAATAATAATAAATTCTTGTGTGATTTGACTATATGACCGGTAAAAAAATTAGTTTACCTTCAGGGTTGTATTTGACCATCAGATCGACTTGACTTCCGGAAGCTTTCAGCTTATTTGCTGCTGTTTCGTGCGTAGCGTCAGTCATATCTTCGTCGTTTACCTAAAAAATATGAAATATTTATTTAAAAAGTAAAGTATTACAAATTAGTATAAGACTTATTCAAATAGTAGCAGTACCAATCAGAGGCTAACCAACTGATAACTAATTAACTAATTAACATAATTAACTAACCAGCTAATTTACCAATTAACTAATCACTAATTAACTAATTACCTGAAGGATCTGATCTCCCATCTTCAAACTTCCACTCACATCAGCCACCCCTCCAGGCAGCACAAACGATACATAAATACCTTCACTGTATTCTCCACCGACTATGTTAAACCCTAGACCCTGCAGCAATACTCCCATCAGTAATTAGTCATAATTAATTAAAACTAGGGTAATTACGTATAATTACTAGTGGTTAGCAGATACCCTCACTGTGGGACTAAACTAACTGAATTAGTCATCATTGAATAATTTAATTATCGAAATTGGGTAGAATAGTAACATTACATTACATCAATCAATATCAGAGTATGTAATATGGTGACAAGAAAGAATAATTCTCAGAAAGCCAGAATAAAGTGAAATAAGGATTAAAATAAGGTTAAAATAAAGTTAAAATAAAGTAAAACGTTTAAAGTTAAAATTCAGAGCTTGAAAACTTCAGACAGTCTAAAAATGAGATATCAGCTACAACTCTGAATCTTACGTGAAAACAACCAGAATATCTCCCACCTGGACAGTGTAGCTCAAAGACATGGTTCTACAATGTACAATCCTACAATGGTTGTACAATCCTACAATTCTACATGGTTGTACAATCCTACAATCCTACATGGTTGTACAATCCTACATGGTTGTACACAATCCTACAATTCTACATGGTTGTACAATCCTACAATCCTACATGGTTGTACAATCCTACAATTCTACAATTCTACTTAACAGTCCTACAGCTCTGTAGGTCTTTTACGGAAGTTCTACAATTGAACGCCAGTTCTAGAACTTTACGACTGTTCTGATATTGCAACTATTATACAACTCCGCAATCATAGTTCTAAGTAAAGAATACAAGCTTGAAGCTACAACAGCTGTTATATTCCAACAACAATGGACAACGTAAATAGTAAATACCCACAGCTGGTTCATACGTTCCTGAAGACGTCTGCAACTCATTTTACAGGACAATTACGTTCATACCCTCATACCTTTACACATTAGGAACACTGGACAGACTCAAAGAACGGCCACTCTAATTAAGTAGTAGTACACCTCCTTGGCTCACAGTCTGGACTACTCTACACTCTACAGCATGGTGAAATGAAACAGGAAAGGGATCTCTTTTCCTGTTTACGATACCGACTAAGCGCAAGCGTATATTAAAGTCAAATAACCGGTAACATAGACGGAGTAAAATGGTAATTGGCTTGAAGCAGATTAGTCGATCACTTACCAAGCCAATTAAAATGACGGTGGAACTACTATATTTTAACATTTATATCGATTAATGCAGATCTTTATTCTAAGTACGTTGTACTATAGCTATAGAATAAGTTAGATACGAGGCTGTTGTTTCATAGTACTGCCGTTTCTTTGACGTCGCTGTTGGAATCGAATCAGTAACTTTCATCAGTTAATTTCCCGTTCCATCATAACACTCAATTCTACATTTCACCAAATAAGGACATTATCAGTAAACTAGTAAAGTGTTTTGTATCGTAGCTTATCGTCACAACATTATGACGTCTGCAGTGCGTCAATATCTAGATCATGCCCATATAAGGAGTTGTTTTTAGAATATGCCCATATAAGGAGAACTGAAGTAACTTGTGACGAAATTATGGGAGACAGCAGGTTGAAGTAGGTTTACATCATAAGTAGGCGCGGCGGTACTTGACTCTCAGGGATAATTACCTGACTATATTATGACCATATAAGGAGTTAATTACTTCACTAAAACACAAAGCGAGAAACTAGGAGAGTCGTGACGTCATCATAATATGTTGTGATAGAACACTGTTTCTGTACAGTTGAAGACGTTATATTCTGTGGGTCAAAGTGGGATCCTTTGCTCCTTTGAGAACAATAATTGAACAATAATTGAACAATAATTGAACAATAACTGAATAATAATTGAGATAATGTTAAAGGGACATTAAGATGGGCGACATAAATATAATAAATTATCTACTATCCTCATTGTACAAACTGGAAATATTACCAGCAAAATGTAACAAATATTTTCCAAACAGAACCAACCTCGGGCCCTTTTTCTAACGTAACACGTCTTGCTTCTCTTGAAGGATGAGTAAGTTGTGGTGATACAACTGAAAAGAGGAAATTGAATATTATATAATTAATGATAATGAGTAATTATAAACCAAACACATGGCCTTCCTCACGACTTAGAATATAAGGTCAGTGATAAAGTAGGTATGATATATCTGGAATTTATATTAGTAACTAGTTCCACAGAGGGGCTATAAAAACAGTCAAATCTTAAGTAATAAAACAAGTTTATTAATTTTATTTATCTTTTTGTTAGTTATCTTTTAGCTAGTTATCTATAGCCTCAAGATAACATGTCGCCTACCCCAAAATAGCGTCACAATAACCACACCTTTAAAATGAGAGTTATGATACTATTTTTAACTTTTATCTTTTAAATTCAAATTTTATTGAAGATTTGTCATGATTCAATGTTTCCATTTTTTAAATTAAATTCAATTAAACCACACCTTTAAAATGGGAGTTGCGAGACAGGGGTAATTCCACACTCTTCTGTGTCGTGTAACAACGACACATCAGCTTAATTACAGAGGACATTGCTTAAATTCCTTGGTTTAAAATTACTTATTCATTAATTTGTTTTAACAACTTTCATATTTTCTGTTGATATGGATTCACAAATTTTCTCAGCTTAACACTGAAAAGACAATGATACAACTGAATCTAGACTGAATCTATAGAAATGTTCGAGTAAAGTTACTCAAATATTTAAGTGATGCTATAAATTCTACACTTTCAAATACAAGAATGTATAATTTTATGTGTACTGCACACAGGTTCCATGTGTCTTTGTATAACATAAATATTGTAAAAGTTTAGTTTTTATACTATAGAGGCTAATTATGTATCAAATTCAAACAAAATGTGTATACGTAGGTACGTGAAAACGTATGTTTTTATTATTAAATCAAAACGCATATATCATGATAGATTCAGATTACATAATGAAACAAAGAGCGGTGAACAAAAATGACAAATATGCAGATCCTTCGAACGATACAGACTTATTCTAATACAGAGAGGGATATGATCATATCTAATGGAATTTAACATGGCTAGAGGTGAAACGAAAGCGATTGTCGTAGTTGATTGGACCTTGCTGACAGGTGATTGGTTATGAGTTGTCAAGTCTTAACATTTGATCGGCTAAGAAATGTCACATGCCTAGTTCTGATTGGTCGATAGCTGTCACGTGTCAGCAAAACAGACCAATTTTAACAAATTTTAACTTCCTTGAAACTTAATTCCAAAACAAATGGAAAACAAAAATCCAACGTGAAAATCACAAAACACTAAAACAAACGGAGTTAAAAATTCAAATAATTCCAACTCACTTAGGGAAGACATTGTCTCGTTATCGAGTGTGGTATTTTAGGTTATTACGTTATGTCATTATAATATTATTACGTTATGCAATGTGTACTTTAAGCCTGCTGTAAAGTCTGCGCTACAAACACCAGACATTGTGGCGTTGTGATGTTGTGAATGTGATAACTTAGTCATGCAAAGTAATTAAACTTTCGATTGATTATTTAATAAATTAAATTGATATTATCCAACATATTTCATAGAAGGTCATGTTATTTATTCTAGAATATTCATTCAATTTATTAAATTGTAGTGATTAATTTGATCACTAATGATTACATAATCCTGTAAACTCAACGTTATACTATAGTGGGTTAATTATAGTGGGTTAATTCACTTAATTAATGTTCAATTAATGAGGAGAGACTGGAATACAGGTCAGTGAACGGAGACGGAATTACTGCAAACTAATGGAACTATACAAATTAAGATGTAGAGATCAAACTGTAGTCTGTACAGATCAAACATATTTAGTTTTAAATGAATTACAGCACTACAAATCTATTACATTTATTGAGTATTATTATGTAACGTGATGGAAATTGGAAACGTTTTAAACGAGTATTTAAAGCTTATCCAAACCCTGCCTTCATGAAATGAAGGCCTTGTTTTAATTTGTATCGAAACGCTCTAATATCAAAGTGAATGGGATCATACAGATAAAATGAACAATCATTTATCATACAGTCTTAAAACATCAGTCGAGTAACGACATAAAAAGACTCAGCTCGAAAATACCAGACGATGTTATTGAAGTGATTAACAAATATTTATCGTAGCGATGATAGACTGTTGAGCCCCGACAGTATGAATAAATGTGCATAAATATCATATATTATAATATGTGTACAGACTACAGAATATATGAGATGATTATTATTAAGCAATGATTTCTGATGGTCGATTAAAGACGAGTGTGGAACCGCTGAGCTTGCTATCAGGCTAAAAGCAACAGTTATCATTATGCAGTAAAACTAGTTATACAATTATGTTGCATAACTATTGGCTATTCTATTATGATGAATACTGATGATATAATACCTTACACTTTTACTACTTTTATCACTTTTATTACTGTAGACTGCACAGAATAACAAGTAAAGAATAAGATATACAAAATAGCGAGTACAGAGTACACAGAGTACTCACTACTCAGTACTATTTACCGATCACTACTAACGTAACACAAACTATTCCAGACTACTTATTATATGGACTATTTATATAGACTATTTATACAGACTATTGACTTTCAAAGAGATTACTAATCCAAAATATGTGTATAAAACAGCGGAGAGAGAGCCGAGCAGTAATACAGGAACATGGTAATCTGGCTGGAGAAGGATAATCTGTAATACAACAGGCAACAGAAGCTACTGTACTTCAGCTATAGACTAGTCCTCCTATGTAATTACATGTTGTAAGTGCTTGCCAGTAATTAGAAGTAGGCTGAGTGGTGAGTACACATTATGTAATTAATTAAGTATTTATTGTAACGATAAAGTAAGGCTCGAGCAGCTTGACATTAACTGACTCAACTCTGTAAATTAATAGGAAGTTATTCTATACCTGCACCTTTCTTTGTTTTGGCTGTTTTAAAACAAAACGTAATTACGTTATATATTATTACGTTAAACATAATTAGGGCCACTGCCCACTGATGACATCCTAGAATTAGAGCAAACTAACCCAACAACACAACACAGTCAGACCGTTCGGGGATAATACAAAGATAAAATCTTACTTATTAAACGACGTAAATCACCCGAGAAGTTGGTTTACTGAATTACGAGAGGGAGATAATTCTAGTCATAATTATCTTGGCAAGAGGCCAAAGAGTGAGTAGCTAGGAAGTTTAAATTTCATAGAGCGTGTTTATTGTTTACATGTTTATAATTAAACGTCACTTGACTTCTTAACGATATATAAACCCTGTAAATAACTAGTAAGTAAGTAAGTAAGGCGTAAGCTGTAAGTAAGTAGAAACTCAAATTAAACGGAAAAGATATAAACTGATAACTGGTGAGTTTAGATTTTCGTTTCTTAGAATTAGCGTTCTGAAACCTAATCTTTAAATGTATGCCAGCAGCGTGCCTAGTACATTTATATATTTTACAGCAGTACAATTGTTGTATTATACAACATACGGTTACATAATGAATTATAGGTACAGTAACCGGTAAATGGCTCTGAAAATTGAAAACTTTGAGACTTGCAACTTTTGGCAACTGTTTTCATGTGATTCTGTATGAAGAATAATGTAACTTTGTTATTATTACGAGAGTGGAGTATTTATTTAATCAGTAACGCAGTTTGAAACTAGATATGCATATTATTTATTAAGATGCACGTTAGAATTTTGATGGACCAAGCCAGCGCAGTATACAGGAGGGTTTTATTAGATTGAATAGTTCAGACATTCTGAACTATCTAATGGAGGGGGCATTAGATAGGGCCGGGAGAGGGCCAGTGTGTGGCCGGGGGAGGGCCAGGGTGTGGCCGGGGGAGGGCCAGTGTGTGGTCGGGGGAGGGCCAGGGTGTGGCCGGGGGAGGGCCAGGGTGTGGCCGGGGGAGGGCCAGGGTGTGGCGGGGGACAAAACAACCGGCTCTTTTAGACAAGCTATTAATAACTTGATCGAAACATCCAGGGCTCCCTCAGCATGGACAGGTATTAACATTTGTTGTTACAACAACAAATTTAAAATTTAATTAGTTTAAATTCCTGAAACAGGTATTTAAATACTTGTAACCTAAAATAGCTGAAATAAGTAAAATACCTGCACTTTCCGGGTATACTTCAGGCATGTTCTGCGCTATAACAAGAATCACGTTATCTCCCGCTCCTTTGAGTGCCTCAACTGCGTCATCGTGCGTTACTTCCTCTATATTTACGTTATTTACCTGAAAATAAAATTAGTTGTTTTTCTTTTATGTTAACGTTTTTATCTGAAATGATTTTCTTTATTCGTGTCTGAAAACAACGTTTTCCAGAGCAATTAATGCCTTGTGATGCACAAAATATGAATGGTTATTATAGTTGGGTAACAATGATTGGAATGAATATAATTACATCTAGTTATATCAGCTAATTTTAATTAGTACTTAAATTGTAGTATTATATAAGGTGTTGCTCTGTACAATTAATACGAAATAATATTATTAAAAGTAGACTCACTAATAATATTCTATCACCGACTTGAAGAGTTCCGTCTTTATCAGCAGCTCCACCACTAATTATCTTAGTTATGTAAATACCTGCATTAATTGTTATAATTGTTATAATTGTTATAATCGTTATCATTGTACCAGGAGACAAATAGCTTAAATCTATATCAAGAAACTTCTCAAAATGTGTCTAATCGTCAATCGGGAACATTTTATTTGGAGTTTTTAATCTTATTATACTATTTAGAGTTTTAGGTATTAGGTATATGATAATACCAACATACCGTCACTGTCAGGAATGTGTTGGTTTCCCTTTCCTCCCGCAATAGAGATACCCAGTCCCTTTTCCCCCTTGTTCAAGGAGACTTCTATAACACGTGGTACCAACTTCTCTGTCTGTTGCTTTCTCTCGATTGTTAACAGCACCTTGTGTAACGAGTGTTACATGCTTCATATTAACATATTATCATGTAAGTAACTTAGTAACTCACGAAAGTAACTTAGTAACTCACAAAAGTAACTTAGTAACTCACGAAAGTAACTTAGAAACTCACGAAAGTAACTTAGTAACTCACGAAAGTAACTTAGTAACTCTTAAAAGTAACTTAGTAAATCAGTAACTTAGTATTAGTAATATTTGGTATTTACCCTTGGTGGAGAATTCTTGAGAATATCAACAGCTTCATCATGTGACACGTTCTCTAGGTCCTTATCCATTACTTTCAGTAGACAATCATTGACCCTGAGGAGGGTTTGTTTGTAATACAGGAGATCATAAACTGCACACGTGATCTTTTTAAATTTTAAACTTTCACAAATATTATATTTACAATTTACAGAAAATATTTAAATTAAAATAATTCCTGATAAGGAGAGAAGTGCTCTATATGTAAAGCTTAAAGGACTGCCTGATGCCCCAGTACCAAAGACTGCATTTGAGATGGAGAGATTGGACTGGGATGAGTTTCAAACGAAGCTGAAAAGCCGTAGAAATAAATCATCACCTGGTCCGAATGGAGTCCCATATCTGGTATATAAGAGATGTCCCAGAATGGCGAAAGCAGTATTCAAATTGCTGGATTCTCTATGGGAAAGCCAGAGAGTCCCGCTGCAATGGCGAGTAGGTGAAGCCATTCTGATAGCAAAAACTGAGGATTTAGATGACCCTAGTAAGTTCAGAAACATCACTAAAACAAACACTAGTGGGAAGTTGCAGATGGGATTACTAGCGGACAGAATGCTAGAGTATATGGTCAGCAATAGCTACATAGACACGTCTATCCAGAAAGGATTCCTGCGTAAGACACCAGGTTGCCTCGAGCATACTCAGGCTCTGATGGAAGAGTTGAAGGATGCCAAATCTAATAGACGACAGATCTTTGCAGTTTGGGTGGACCTAATGAACGCCTACGGCCGGGTTCCCCACAACTTGATAATATATGCTCTAAGACATTATAAGTTCCCAAACTGGCTCATAGAATATATGTTTAAGTACTATGATGAGCTGATTGTGAGAGTGGTGACAAAGGACTGGAAAACAAACTGGTTCTTTTATATGTTAGGTCTTTTTCAGGGCGACCCTCTATCGGTTGTACTGTTCTTAATAGTTTTCAACCTACTATTGGATCTCCTGAAAAATCAAAGCGACTTGGGTTACAAGCCGTCTTTTAGTTCTAGCAGCACGTCAAGTCGTGCTTTTGCTGACGACCTAACTCTGATGTCTCCCAGGCTGGAAAAGATGAAGAAGCTAATAGATGTGATGGAAAGATTTCTTACTTGGTCAAGGAAAATGAAAGCCAAGCCGAGTAAATGCGTATCCCTGGGGATGAAGGTTATAGATGGAAGGTATGTGTCCTATGACCCTGAAATTTTCATAGATGGAGCTCAAATCCAGTTTATTGGAAATACGCCGATGAAGTTTCTTGGCCATTGGATATATGTGGATCTGGGCCTCAAAGATACCAAGAAGCTGATAGAAGACAAACTGATTACACTGTTTCAGGCAGTGGACGGATCAGGCCTTAATGGAGTGATGAAATGCTGGATTTACAACAACCTCCTAACCAGCAAGCTCTCCTGGGACCTGATGATCTACAATCTCCCGGTTAGTTTTGTCAAAGATCTTGAAGCAATATGTACAAGGTATCTGAAGAAATGGCTAGGTGTAACAAAGACAATTACTGTCAGTGTGCTTTACAGAAATAAGGATTGCTTTGGATTGAATCTTAAAAGACTATCGGACTTATACAAGTTCCTTCAGGTGTCCAAAGGTTACTCTCTAAAGAACAGCAAGGATCCTAAAGTTAAGGAGGTCTACGAGCACAGGGCCAAGAAACAAGAAGGGAGCAGTCGGTGGGGTTACACTAATGAGCTGAGTGCTAGAGAAAGAGATCTCTACTTCAGAGAGTTAGTAGGGGTAACAGTGCAAGACAGGATGGGCTTGGGATCCAAGAGGAGTGTAGCCAGTGAAAAGGAAAAACTGAAAGAACTGGTATCCCACATCTCAGAGCAGGATATCCTGTTGACACTGGTAGACAAGGGAGTTCAAGGACAATTCTTAACATGGGAAAACACCATGCAGCTAGACCTAGGTTGGAACAACCTTATTTACAACTACAAGATGAGCCCTGCTCTTCTTAAGTTCCACATCAATGCAACCCATGACGTTGCAAATACTCCAGCAAACATGAGCCTGTGGAACTATGCTGACACAGGACACTGTCCACTTTGCGGATGGAGACACTGCAACATTAAGCACATTTTGGTAGCTTGCAACTTCTCGCTGAACAACAAACGATACAATTGGAGGCATGACAACGTGCTGCGGGTCATTGCGAAATCCCTACTGGATCAAATCGAGAAGTTCAACAACAAAGATTTTAAACTTGAAGTTCAGGACTGGACAGGCTTCAAGTCATCTAGCAGCTGTTACCAAAAACCGAAGACGAAGATGAAAAGAGAGAGCCCTTTTGAGAAAGACCAAGATTGGCAGATTATCTGGGACGAAGATGACCTCCCAGCACAGTTCCCCCAGCACATCTACGGAACTGCAGAACGTCCCGATATTGTAGTCTGGTCTGATAAAGGAAAGTTGGTCATATTAGTAGAGTTGACAGTTGGTGACGAGAGTAACTTTAGTGACCAAGTAGAACGTAAACAAGCACGTTACAACAGAGAGCTTATTCCTGGGCTGCATGGCAGTGGGTGGAAAGCTCAGCTTTTTACGGTAGAGGTTGGGTGTAGAGGCTTCTGGCATCATACCTTACCAGCCCTACTAAACTACTTTGGTGTTACAAAGAGAGTAAAGAAAGCAGTGTTCCAAGAGGCGGCTTTGGTTGCTCTCAGATGTTCCTATGCAATCTGGTTAGCAAGAGAAAACAAGAAGTGGAGTCCCTGCTACAACATCGCACAAAGACCCACTGTTCTACCATCAACTGAGTGAGCTGAGTGTTGGGCCCTTAAAACATTGTTTAAAGCCACACCTGGAATCTCAAGCACCAGGATCAGTGATGGAAGCTAAGCAGATACATAGATGGAGTTGCTATCGAAAGATATAGAACTCAGGTATCCAACATCGTACCTTGATTATATTGTAGTATTTTCTCGAAATTGTAGCAGGGCCATATTGTTTGTTTCAGTAACAAATGTACGACTCATTGACACAAGTTATAGGACAGACCAACTACAGAACTACGGGTTGAAGATCTTGAACACCCGCAAGTTGCACTTTAGAGCTTTAAAAGGGGTGCAATTATAGAATGTGATTTTTGTAACTTTTCGGGGTTAAAATCTTTTTTATACAAGTGAAAAATCAGCATTATAAAAGACAACGTTCAAGACGTAAAACTAAAACTAAATAATTCAAACAATATTGATATTATATTAATGACATTAGATACTTCATTTTTTCAATGTGTTCTATTACATCATTATATAGTACAACAAACCATCTCAAAGTTGATATTCACTAGTCACCTGACCTAAACAGACCCTGAAGTTGGCACAACATGATACGTACTAGACTACTAGAGTTAGGGATCTTTCATAGATTACGTAAGCAATATTTAGCTATTTGTCTGTTATAAGCCACTTCACACATTTAAACTATTGTGTAAAAGTTCTAGTACTAGCCTAAGCTTTTACAAATTTACACGCCCCCACCCTGGCCCCCCCCCCCCCCCCCCCTTCCTTTTACACGCCGACCCCCTCCCTCTAAAATGTCACGTGATAAAGTAAACACGAAATGTCACGTACTTGAGCCTTCCGTCCATATCACTGACACTGTTTGGTATTATCTTAGTTATGTAGATCTTGTTATCGTTTGGATAGTGGGGTGTGTCGTAACCACCACTGATACTGAATCCTAGACCTGCAAATAAGATAAGATAAGTCATAAGATAAGATAAGGTGAAATAGAACGAGATAAGATAAGGGTGTAGGTTGAGGAATACTAGACATGAACACAGACCGTACAAGCTGATTTGACTAGATGATAATAGAATATAATTTATTGAATATGAATATACTCGGTGTAACGTAGTAAGAAAATAGCATTAAACACGTTCAAGTGCACCGTGAGTAAAACTAACAAAACATTATCAGAAAATAAAATGAAACAAAATATCAGAAAAACAAAATATCAGAAAAACAAAATATCAGAAAAACAAAATATCAGAAAAACAAAATATCAGAAAAACAAAATATCAGAAAAACAAAATATCAGAAAAACAAAATATCAGAAAAACAAAATATCAGAAAAACAAAATATCAGAAAAACAAAATATCAGAAAAACAAAATATCAGAAAAACAAAATATCTTACCGTTTCGTCCTTTTTCCAGGAGAATGGTTTCGGTGACAGTGTCATCTGCTGGGGGTGCCTTTGGAAGTGTACTAACTTCTGGTCTGCAAAATACAGCCCCGGTTAAATAATTTTATCAAGTAAAAATGATACGCAATTTAAAATATTTCCCTGATATTTAACTTAGTTGTAAACCACTGCTGCTACTTTAACTGTAATACAATCAGGTACAGTAGAACTATAAACTATAATCCGAGCATGAATATCAAATTTGGGGCACATAAACGGGATGGTGGTTTGCATTTCAGGCCACAACATTCCAGGACTCGATACTCCACAGCACAAAACAGATCGAAGCATCTCTAAATTATTTACTATTTTTATTATATTGCTGTGTAAATTTGATTCTAATTCTAATTCTAATTCTAAAAACACTTCTACATACCTGAAAGTAGGTTGTTCGGGAGGAGCAGCAGATAAGTTAAGGCCCGGATGAGGTCTCTCTGAAGCGACGCTGCTGTTGTTGTTGATGTGAGGAGTGTTGTTGAGGAGGGCGGGGGCGGCGCTGTTCAACAGTACGTCTTTGTGGTATTCGTGTATATCTGAGGGAGAGAGAGAGGTCTGGGGCTGTATCTTGATCTAGTGTAATACTACAGTGCAAGTGTATTGTATATATAATATATATATTGATACTGTATCAGTGTACATATTATATATATATAATAATCGGACTTGAATGCTTGTTAGGATGAGATCTTGATTTTCTTTTAAAATGAAAGAAAAGAATATTATTTGCCAGTAAACAAGCCTATTATATTCATGCTTATTCGAACATAAGATACAAGTTTGATATGAATATGAAAAGAATACACGTTTGCTTTGTTTTGAGAAATGTGCAGTACAATATGTTAAAGTTGTGATGCATACTAATAACATAACACATCATTCATCAGCTTGTTTAGGCACTTTTTAAACACCAGTACTTGTGTGTTAGATGCTGAGAAGCACTACTTGCTCTTTCGTGTGTATAATTGCATTTAAAATGCAGCAACAGAGCTTTTGATGTGAGATCATCAGTGATGATCACATTTATAATACAGAGTATAAAGTAGTTGTTAAAGCATAGTAAAGGTGTATAATAAAATACAAATATGTTAGATATTATAAAAGATATGGCTGTTAGATAAAGATCATCATGGTCGTGAAGATGGTAATAGCAGAGCTGATGATATGGTGAAGTGGAAAAAATAACTTGTAAAGGATTTATCCTTTACAAGTTATTTTTCCAAATAACTATTATATTTTGTCAAATCAATCAGACTGTTATGACATTGCATACATGCAAAACTTACATCAGCCTTGTTAACAAATTTGTGTAAAATTCAAATTCAAAGCAATCAAAGGATCAAATAAGATGAAGAAAATTGTAAAATAGAAATTTAAAAGTTCAATGATGTAAGCAAATTACCAAGTAGAGCATTGAAGAGCTCACTCTGGCACATACTGATAACCCTCTTCATGCATTCTTGTAAATTAGTGTCACTAGGGTAGGTCAGGTTGTCCTTGTAGTCTTGTATTAGTTCCACCATCCGGTCAACATCTGACATGTTATAGCAATTCAATATACACTATTATAAGGTATCTTTGATTGGTTAAAATTTGTTACCAAATCAACTTTATGAGCAGGAGCACTTGTTTATTTCTTTAGCAAGTTTGTTGCTATCATTGAAGTGAAGCGTTCACATTAGTATGTGAACCATCCCTTAAGCTATTCATTTTCCATTAAGTTTAAATGCATTCTTCTTGTTTAAATGATATGATAGAGACGTTAACTTACCCTCTTTGCCAAAAGACATGACTGCCGACCTAAAATTGATCAGATTATTATTATTGAATTATTTTTTCTGTGTTCACAATAAATTCATTTATATGTTATTTATGAAACATCAAACTGTTATCTTATATTAGCAAATAATTTCAGATAATACATTACTGTACAAGATCAGATATTACTTATAAATCTCAAGTTATTTCAAAAACAACCTACAGTAACGAGCACTGTAAATTTGACTCTACTAAGAATATTAATAAAACAAAAGTTAATAAAACAAAAGTTAAATTTATTACCAATTATTCAATCAATACATATCATAAATTCTAATATTGGAAACACAATGCAAAATGGATGTCTTAAACTATAATTTCATTGTGACTAATAATCTATTGACTTTCAAAGTTGAATTTTAGTTAAGTATGAAATGCCACCACATCATAGTTAGGGTAAAATGTTATTTTTAAATTTTAAAATTGAGAAGATTGCTCTATGGCTTAAAATGTAAAATTCTAGCAAAAGATATCTTATTTTTAAATAGTTGGTTACAGTTTATGACAGTACTGGCATGACTAGTTTTATTGTGGCTGGTAAAAGGACCCAGTTGCCTGTAAGGGCTTTACCGAACCCCAGGGGACCACAATGTGATAAGATCAGGCCAGATGTTTCTATGTAGAGCAATTTATTTATTTTGGAGCTATGATTACGTGGTATAGCTGGTGGTCATGTTTAAAGGTCAGTTTATCCTTGTGTGCTAATTATCCATCCAGATGCTTAGTGATGTGGGTAAATCATGCCCTTCTACGATATATAATGTTTGACCATAAATTTGTTTTTACCACATAAACTGTGGCACTAATGTCAATTAACAATATTTACATTCATTGATATTTAAAGCGTGTTTTTTCCCCAGCACTACTACACAACAAAAACCTGTCGGCCCACCGAGGAAACACGGTCGCAGAACAAAGAGCCCAATTGTGCTCTTCTATTCTGTGATCGTGTGTATCTACTATAAACTAGCTAAATATACTAAGAAAATTTAATGGAATCATTACAGTCGTTTGATAAGTTCACGTGTCAAAGTAATGTTCATGGTGATCATATTTTTTGATCCCCGGTGGGCAAACACTCGTCCGAAAGGTCAAGGCAAACCTGTCGATGTTTCACCATACGAAGTAAGGCGATTTGAACATATACTCAGCTTACAACTCAACCCATGGGACGAGACGTCGTGAGCCTCAAAATTCTTCAAAATATACAGCACATACCTAGTTAGCAAACACTAAACACAACATACATACGATACCAAATAATGTATAATGCCATTATAATTCTAGAACAACATTAAACTGGCCTTTGAAAGAGATGGAGTTCCCACGATCATGGGCCAATGCAAATGGATGACAATAAATCAAGTGCAATGACCATTTATGGCAAGACATTTTGTATTACATCTATGAAAACATCATTGCAATAAATACACAGAGCTAGAGGCAGCTCGTGTGTCCTGGCTGGCGATTTACTAGGAAATTTTGTCGTTGGACTCATGGGGTTTTCCATATCGAATGAATAATGTAATACACGCACACGCCACACAGAAAACTAAAACAAAATGAGTGTAAACTGTCACCTAACCAAAATATTTCTCTTGCACTCTGATAGCTTTGTCTATGGGGCTGACCGCAGGACACCTTAGTATTTTCAGTGTACGGATGCAATGATGTGCTTTGAAGCGTTTACAATTTAAATTAACTGTGTGTTAAATCCTGAAGTACAAGTTGTCCAAAGAAAGGTTGGACGTCTTGGTAACTGAAAACTTATGTATGAATAACAATAATCAGGGTTAAAATGAGTAGATGCCATACCAAAAGTAAAACAGAATTTAAGTAAATCAAAAAAGATAAGTTTCTTCTTCGGGTACCCCTTCAGTTCATCTACATTGTAGTAAAAAGAAAGATATAGCAAAACAATTATTTCATCACCAGGCCCAGGCCCAGGCTTAGTGTTAATATTATGGCGGAGATATGGTAGTGACAGGCTGTGGTGGAGTGAATTTGAAATAAAGTTTAACTTCGTTAATTGACGATATAAAAGCCATATAATTTCTTCCTTATAGTCTTTATATAGTACGAAAGCTTAACCATGCCACCTCAACTCTGTGTCGTCTACGCTGCTCCCTCCCAGAATTTCTCCACAGACAGTTATACTACACTCTTTTTGAATCCCATCTGTCGTACTGCATATCAGCATGGGGTGGGGCAGCTAAAAATCGTATAAGCTCAATATTCACTGCACAGAAGTACTGTCTGAGGGTCTTGTTTGGTGATAGAGCAGCCTACCTGGATAAATTCAAAACGTGTGTTCGAACCAGACCATTTACTGACCAGAAACTCGATAGTAAATTTTATAAAAAGGAGCACACTAAACCTCTGTTTAAAAACAACGAGATACTCACTGTACAAAATCTTCATACTTATCATAGCTACATAGAATTATTCAAGATCATGAAGTTTTCTACTCCTATGTCTATGTACGAAGAGTATTCTCGTTCTTCCAGGAAACCAATGCTTATTATCAATAAACCGGATCCCCCAGGCAACCATAACACGAGGTCAACGAAAATATGGAATATAATAACCCCTAACCTTAAAATCTTTGATTGTTCTGTTAGTATTTCTTGCCTGAAATCCAAACTGAAATCTTCACTACTTTTCAACCAGCATTGTCATGCCGTGTATGACTGGACAAATAAAGACTTTGATATCTGTAACCTTAAATTTTCGTAGGCTCCTGCAGGGATTCCACCTGACCTCCAAAATTTCATGACCAAATCGACTTACTCTGCCAGCGTATTCCTCTGTCAAGTTAAATGTGATGTGTGAGTGAGTAAGTGTAGTGTAAAGAGATCCTATTTTTGTATCCAATTTGAATTCTAATAAAGACCCTAAGCATTATGATCAAATTTTTAGTACAATAGTTATATCAGGGTTGACATCTATGATTAATATTATAACCCAATATTCATTTCTTTTTCTCCCTTAAATTTAAACCCCCGGCCCCCACTTAGACATTTAGCCATGATTTAGTATTGAACACCCAAAATACCTACCGTCCTTAATAATCGTAAAGACCATTTGTTACAAAATAGCTGCTAGAATAATGCATGCCAAATATTCCCTCTTACACCCACAAATTATAATGCCTTCCTATCAACGCCTCTAATTTGGTCACTAATCAACCAGACTAGCGTTATGGTGTGTACAAAAGCTACCAGCCAGTACATTCCTTGCCCCGCTAGTTGATTGTCAAAAAATTATACAGCTCAGAACAAACGGCCATTTACCACTAAGAGCATTATATGTTTTCATTTGTTTAAATTTTATGCTGTAAAATGTGCTAAAAAAATTTGTTTTACTTAAACTGGCAACCAGTCAAACCAGTATATAACTGTCTCTAGGTACTGTCATATCTTTCATCTTTACCCATGGCATGATCCCAATGCTTTGGAGGACTTCGCCGCTTCGACGCGCCGCGCAAACTAGCATTCTTGCTTCGCATCGACGATCGTTGCTCTGCTTCGCAGAGCAACGATCTCGACGGATTGACATCGTCAATCAACCAATGCTTAACCAATAAACATGTCGGATTGTCCTCTCAAAAACCAGCGAAAGTGTAATTGCTGTTTCGCATTGAGGTGCATACGAAGCAATAGCTTCAGCGGGTAGTTGATTCACCGTTCACAAGCAATAGTCACTTTGGTCTACTATACTTGCCGTGAGGTCTCAGCTATTTATTTAATTTGGGTTGGGGTCCGCCTTTTTTAAGAGTACCCCGTCAATTATCAGTTTACTGGGCGGCGCTCAGCCTGTCATTCCGCCGAATCTTTATTCTTTATGTTTATGAACATAATAGCCTGGGGTCCTCAGGTAACTATCAGTTCATCTCCAAAAAATCGCACACACTACATATTAGCTCGCCCTAATTTAAATGAAAAGGCCTTGAGGGTAAATAAATAATTTACTTCGTTGTATTTTTGGACACTAAATCAAATCAATCAATTTAGAAATAACCTTAAAATTTAATTGACACACGTGGCAACCTTTTTTTCGACCGTGTAGTAACAATTTGGCACGAAATGTGTTTTAAGTATATAATTATAGAATATTTTTATTTTAATGGACATGGAGACTTTTTACTAAATTTTTATGTTGCAGGAATATGTCAACAATTTAGAGTGTGTGTTGTTAAATAAATGTGTTGTTATTCCATTTAATTAGCGTTGTATTTTATTGTAGGTTTACAACCTACCATGCAGGACGCGCGCCGAGTTGGACTCGTCGACGGTCCTGATATATGGAACAAATATTTTACAAGATTATCACCCGTTAATGTATTTTATTGACTATTATATACTTGTTTATACTGGGCGGCGTCCGCGTTAAAATATTCAGTTTAACGGTGCGGCGCATTTGTTTGCATGCTACTGGGCCGCGCCGCGCATCAAACAATGTTTCTAGCAACCACTTAAGCTTAGTAAGATTGGCGATGCACCACTGAACCACTCCGAGTTGCAAAGGATTCACATCGTGAATCAAATCTAGTTAGGTGAACTACGAAGTAGCACAAGCGCGCGTTGGGTCAGTCTATTATAACAATGTACAAATTGCCATGCTAATCAGTTATTTCAGAAAATTTTATGGTTTAAAAAAACTTGGGTCGAGAAAAAGTAAAATCTAATTTAAGCTGTGAACAGATTTCAATTAAAAATCTAGTTGTAAGAAAACAAGTAAGTTATAGATTTTGTTTCTTAAATACATTTTTAAAAGAATATGATTAGTGCTAAATATAGGATACAAGGATACAAGGATACAAAAATACAAAAGTGATAATTACTTTATTGAGTACACAATAGTTGTAATTCTGAAATAATTTAAGTTACACAATTCTTATTATTTACAAGTATGTAGGGATAATTTAGAAATGTTATATAATGCTAGTTTTAGAAAAATAGATAAATCGAGTTTGTATGGTTCA